ACCCGAGCAGTCGATGAATGCCTTCACCACAGAGCTTCTTCTGTCCTTTTGCACTTGCCGTGCAGTTTTCCTCTGGTTTGTGTGGCCCCTTGGGGAGCACTACTCTGCTAACCACAGGGCTGTGAAACACTGCTCCAACCACAAAGCGCAGCTTCTCCTTTCAGATGACAACTCACTTTTCCCCGTGCCTAAGGAAAGCCCAGAAGCTCTACAACAACGACTGGCTGCATTCTGCTCACATAAGTACAGCTATGGCGCTGGTGCGGCCCCTCAGGTCCGCTCCCCGCTGGTTGCACAGCAGCACCCCAGCTCAGTCCCTATGCACTGGGCAAGTCAAGCAGACAGAAGCACCCCCACTCCAGATCTCAGAGAGGTATCACAAACCCAGCAAGGCTGCATGCTGTCTCATCTAGTTTTCTTTCCTTTCTCTCAGGAAGTATTGCCCGTGGGAGATAACCCTCACTTTCTCTGCCTGACCACCATGCTTTAAAGCCCCAATTAGATGTCCCGGCAGTTATTAATCACGGAAGATCTATGGTACTTCAGTTGACTCAGAACATTGGCATTAAAGCTGAGGTTATAAGAACTCCGGCAAACCCACTCGATAGTGGTTTCTATTTACTCAGTAGTGATGTCATATCAATCCATCTGGAGCACACTGCTGGAGATGTGAGTTTGTTAGAAGTCTGGGCATCAGAGCCACAGGTAGGCTTCTCTGCTAGGCAGCCGGTCAGGCAGCAAAGCAGAAGGGCAGCTCTCACCTCCTCTCCCACATCCAGCCTCGAAGCTGGTGTCTGCAAGGGCCTGGCCTGGGCAGGAGTCCTGCACACCTGCAGCCACCAGCACGGCTTCAGCCTCAGCCCATGCAAAGACAGATCCTGAGATCCCGACAGAACCTTCATTTGGCTCCACTTGGAAGTAACGCTGGCAAAACTCAGGAAGAAGGCAAGTGGAAAACCAATCAGAACCAAATAAAAGCCCTCCTGGCATGAGCAGAAACAGCAGAACACGTTGCAAGAAAGCGTTCTCTAGTGAGGAAAATACCAAATCACTAATATATCCCAGAAGCAATTTATTCTCTGTGAATTTTCAAACAACGTGAAGGAAGGATTCCAAAGTTTCTTGGCAGGCAACATTGCAGCAGTACCCCGCATGGAATTTCCTGCAAGCCTGCTTGCTCCTTGGGAAGGCACAGCCTTGCCATCCATCCCTCCATGGCCAGACCACAAGAGATCAGCAGGGAGTGCTGGGCTCTGCACACCCCAGGCACACACTGGCACCATGGTGGTCACCTCCACAACTCCCTTCAGCTCTACACCTTTGGGAAACCTCACTGCTAACAACTGAGAGCCCATCATCCACAGCACTACCCCAGGGCTGTAAAGTGCATTTCACCAAGGGGAAAACAAAAATAATGCTACATCTGCAGTATGAATTTCCTGTGATTTCCATTTCCTGGGCAATTTTGACAAGTGCCTTTTCACATAAGCACTGGAACAAAACCAAGAGTGAAGGCTGTGTACAAACAGCGACTCCGAAGCTCTAAGCATCCCTTTGCAGTCAGACGCAGCTCAGTGTTCACCCAGTACAGGCAGAACGTCCCAGGCTTTTTGCCCTTGTGTACACTCATAGGAATAGCAGTGGGTGTAGATGGAGAGGAGGCCACTGATGTCTTTCACTATCTATGATCTACAGGTAGGTGTGGTTGCAAACCATTCCTCCTTCTCTCCACTGGGGAGGTGGCAGTGCACACCGGTGCCAAAGGGCAGAGCTGCTGGCAGCACCAAGCCACGTGCTCACCATCTCCTACCATTGCGGGCACACCACGTGCCATCCCAGAACAAAGGCTGTGGTGCCCAGAAAGAGAGAGGGGCACAGCACACTGCTGCCCACCTGGGCACTGAGCACCTGGTGCTCACACACATGCATCGCCACAAAGGGACTGGAGGCTGTGGGGGCTGCTCCTGGGGGTGGGAGCTAAGCCTGACCCCACGCATGTCCCATCAGCTGTTCTCTGCACCAGGGCAGAGGTGATGCAATCAATATGGGCTGATCAGCATAACCAAGCCCGACTACAAGCCCTGGTCATCTCAATTAGCCCACCATTCTGCTGCAAAAAAAAGGCTTGTGACTACAATTCAGAAAATGTAGCCTAGCAGAGAGGAGAGTTTCACCAGAAAGTGTCTATTTATATAATCACTGCGGCGCTCAGATACCATGGAAATAAGTAAAGAATAATATCTTGGGGGAGTCTGTGGCACTGCAGATTTGAGCAGCAGTTGCTACTGCTGCTAAAACTGAGCACCCACTGGTGCTCCTGCCCCCGGGGCTGCCCACGAGCTGCCACGCTTCAGCATCACGCTGCATTTTGCACAGATTTCACCAGAATGCTTCCAGCCCCATTTCCCTTCTCTGGGCTCACGGCACCCACCGCTCCCTGCCCTGTGCTCCAGAGACCGCAGCCAGATCACAGCAGTCCCTCCCCGGGCTCTCATACAGGGATGTTGCTGGAAGGGCAATGCCCACACAAACCTGTGCTCTCTACCTGCTATTTGCCACCAGCTATCCCTTGTTATTCCCTGCTGGAATCTGAAAGCCCTGGATCCAGAAGGGGTCAACGTGCATCCAGCCCCCTGGTTATTCACTCATCGCAAAGAGATGACCCAGAAGACCAAAAAGGATTTAAATGCTATGAAGAGCAAGGATCCAATTAGCAGAACAGACCAGGCTGGAATTAGCATTCAAGGATAAAGGCAGAAAAGGAAAACGTGGGGTATCAGGAAGAGATATGTGAAATTATCTCTCCAGAGTGAAGTGGCAGAAGCTCCACTACTTGGTCTGTTTAAAATTAAGTCAGACACAGAGAAATGAACACAGGAGCTCTACTTCAACAGGAAGAGGGCTTGGGTTACTTTCATCTTCAGTCTTTGCAGCTGGCTGTAAGCAGGAAGCACCAAGTGTTTACCTGTAAGTAGGTAACAGAGTTCTGCCAGTCCTACTGCTGCTGCCTCTGGCAATTCCAAGATATTTTTCCATACAGACCTTAGGAGGAGTACGAAGAACCACCAGAGTGAAGGTTGCATCTCAACTGTATGCTCAGTGAGGAGCCTCTCCCTCTCCTTCACACCCCCCTCCCCATGTATGCTTCTGGGAAAAGTCACAAGGCTACAACAGGGGAAGAAAAAAAAAAGTGGGACAAAGCAGAAACACTCATTGACTTCAACATGACCAAGGAAGGACAACTGCTGAGCCCTGGGGCAAGCTCTATACCATACCTACTGCTGTCCTGAGGAACCACAAGCCAAGGGCTGTTGCTGTGCTCTCTGCTCTGCTGGGCTTTCAGGGCTGAAAGAGGAGAAATACGTTTGTCACATTTATTGGTGTTCTTCTGACTTCTCATTAATCTCATTACTTCTCCCAGCAAAGCTCCTGCTTCCTTAAGCAGCTCCCTGCACCTCATTAAGGAGTAAGCTGCCCCTCTCGAGTCACATGTGCCAGACTTTCTTTCCTTCTCTCAGGAAAGGTGATTTTAAACTAGAGCACCTGCCACACGAGGCTGGAAAGGAATTCAGCCCAGCTGCTATCTATCTTCACGGCCCTTTGAGTTTCATCTTTACATTCAGACTCTCCTGTGATAACCAGAGGCTTCCCGCAGGCCCAGGAAGGCTTTGGTGGCTCTGCTCGTGAGGCCGTGCTGGCAGTGCATAGGCTCCATCCACGCCAAGCACCCCACGCCCCCCAGGGACAGGGACCTGTCCACAATGCGCACAGAGCCTCGGGAGCAGGACTGCAGATTGCTCTGTGTCACCATGCCTCTTCCCCTGGAGGGAAACAGTGAAACCCTGAGTGAGAACACAGGCACCAACAACCAGACATCGTATATGAGAACTGGTAGTGAAGCACGGTTTGTTTTGCGGCTGCATGTTTGCTATAGGCACGGGGCATAATCGTTACACCTGAAACAGAATTTCAGCCTCTCCAGATCTTTACAAATTTCTCGTAAAAGTATTTTTCAGAGACATTTCTCACTGAGCCATGGAGGTGGGAGTGAGATGCGGCACTGAGATGTAGCATATGGAGAAGGATGAAGGACTGAGATGTAGGGCATGGAGATGGGACACAGGTAGGACATGAGATGCGGGATTGGGCACAGCACGTGGAAGTGAGGCATGGGAACAGGGACGTGGAAGAAGGCTATAGGACACGGAGCTGAGCCATGGGGCACCCATGCGAGGGGCTGAGAGCCACGCAGGGCAGGCAGCCTGGCTTTATATATCTGCTTACATAAAGCCACGCACTTTGGATCCTGTTGGGAAGAAATCTCGGCGTAGGAGCCCGTGCAGCGTGCCGGGCTGTGAGAGGCAGCCGTGCCGTCTCGTCTCTCCCCCGCTGGCACAGCTGCAGGGAGGGCAGCGAGGAGCAGCTCAAGCAGGGATATCGGGACTTTGTTCTTAGTTTCCAGGAAGGGCTCATCTGAGGAACGCACGTCCGGCTCTTAAGCTCAGGGCCGATGCTGGAAAGGGGCCGAGCGGCGACAGCGGAGCGCTCCGTTACAGCTCCCCTCGCCGCTGCCTGAAGACGCGGCGCTTCCCCATTGCGTCCATCCCCACGTGTCCCTCCCCAGCCCACGGAATCGCCGCCCGTCACGGAGCCGCTCCCCCTCCGGAGGAGGCCCCGGCACTTTGCACACGTGGCGGTGCACGGAGCGCTGCTACGGCCCCGGCGGGGGCGGGCGAAGAGCACCCGTGCGCGGCAGGGCGAAGACCGAAGCGGCACCGCTGAACAAAGGCGGCGGCCGCCCAGCGGCCCCGCGGAACGGCCGAGCGAACGGGACGGCGGCGCGGCCCGCGGCAGCGCCCGCACGGCCCCGGCGGGACGAGGCCGCCCCCTGGCGGCAGCTCTGCCGCACGGCGCTCCGCCCGCTGGTGGAGGACGCGGGGAAGCGCCCGCTAAAGCACACCGGGCTTAAGAGGTTCCGGGGAAGCACGAATAGAAAAGCGCCGAGCGTAAGGACGGGATATCGGCGTGACAGGATATGAAAAAAGAGACGGGAAAGCATGGGGAACGCAGAAGCCGTACCTAAGAAGTTTTTCTCATCTTTGTTGAACGGTAGCGAGGGGGCAGATGGCACTCTGCTCACGGGAAGGCGTAAGAACGGGAGTGGTGCCGCAGAAAAGGAATACCCGAAAACGATTCTCCTTTCAGTGCCTACAGCGCCGTAAGAGCGCGGTGGAAGAGACGCCCGCAGCACAGGGGGCCCCCAGGGGACCTGCGGGTCACACCTGGGCCGATCGTAACAGTGCAATAAATGACAACACGTGAAAAAAGTTTTTTATTTCTCAGTGTTTCTCCACTGTCAATACTGTCCTTTTGCTGCACCAGGTTGCAAAAAAACTCTGCCTTTTCCATTTTCAACAGCTACAATATTTACAGGCCGTTTCCAGTAACACACGCAGACACATACACACTCACAGACACGCAGGTACATATATCCCTATGCCTGGCAAGGTAGCTGGTTGCTGGTAGAGGCAATATATATTGTCATTGTCCATTACAAGCCCTCCTCCTCCTCCCGTGCACCTCTTCTCCTCTCTCTCCATTCAGCAGCTCGAGGCCAAGCTTTTTCTGGGGGAATCTTTATGTAAGAAGTACCCAGCTACTCATTGCCATTGTCCAGGGTCGTGGGCTGGGGTTCTCTATTCAAACTGTACACAGCAGAAGTCAAAAACTGCTCCTATTCGGGTGCTTGTGAACTGTGAGTCATGTACGTGCACTCCTGAACTCTTTTGGAGCAGCCATCTTAATCACCTTCTGGGAAATATGTATATCATGCTGGGGTGAACAAGCCACATGCTTCACTTTCCACCAAGGTGTTATGGACCCACATTTTTACTAAGGCACCAGTAATGACCAGTTTAGTTTCTGAAAGCGTCCAGCCTCAGTAAATGTACTGCTTTAGGTTATCAAAGACTAAGCCAGACAACAAAAGAATAGATGCCTATATAATAGGTATAAAATTCCTTAATAAAAATAAGTACATAAAACCTGTGGTGGTATAACCCCAAATCCAATATAGGTAGAATAATATCTGAATAATATTAATTGTAAGAAAAGCAATCTATCCTGCTCCATTTTGTGAATGGAGAGTCCTGTAACTGAGAAAGATCGTCCAAGCAGTGTTCTTCTATCTACACTCCTAGGTTGTGTGGTGCCATGTGTATCGTCAGAGAAAAACTCTGAAACTCTGATTGTAAGATGTCCCCTTCTCCCCCTCACCCTGTGCTAAACAAAGCTCCGTGGCCACCTGTCAGACAGCCAAGGCCATGGAGCTGTGCTGTGAGTTTCCATCTCGCTGCTCACCAGTCACCTAGGCCGATCAGAAGAGCTGTTCTGCTCCTGTCAGGGTTATGAGGGTGGTGGTAAGGAGGTAAGGAAGGAGGGGGGATGAACTACATAATGGGTGGGAAAACTGAGGTCAACACTCAGGAACACGTCCCGCCTTCCAGCAAATTGGCTCCAGGAACCTCGATGGAGCCTAAAACAAAAACCAAATCTCGGCCCTTGTTCTCCTGCCAACTCTGAAACAATTTCAGAAATGTTGTACCACAAGAGAGAGCCCCTGAGCATTCATCACAATTATTGTACAGAGTAAGTGGCACAATTATAGGTATCACTGGTGTCACATACCTTTTTTTGTTTCTTTTTAATTCAGACCATTTTCAAAAGAATTCACAGGCTGAAAAAATGCATAAAGACTTAAAATTAAATATCAGCCTGTTTACTGATGGACACAATCCAATCGGGGGAGCTTTTAAGCGCTTCCCAGACATTAAATATTTGTCATGGGAAGCAGTAAATACGTATGTATTTACGTACATATACATAGATATCACCTTCAGAGAAAAGAGAGAAACAAAAAATAGCTTTTGGATAAATGCACATCTAAACATAGGACTTAACTGGAATCTTCTTATGGTGACAGAACATATCACACAATGAGAAGTGGCCAGAGTTCATGCACTCATCTATAGGTTCTCATGAAAGCTCTGAAGAAACAATCCTGTTCTATGCTGAACTCGATCTGGACTGACAGGACTACCTGGAAAGTCATCATCCTTTCTACACCCGTAACAGGAAAAAAATACATCAAGATGGAAATCACAGAGAACAGAACAACAAGAACAAAAAGTTTCCATCCCATGGACAGATCTATCCTGGGGGGAGTTAGAACAAATGTTTTGTCACACTCACAGTGGAGCCAAGATACAGTCATGTATCAATCTTTACCGCTTGGAATGCAGGAAAACTGAAGGAAAAGATACTAATTTTCCAAAGCCTTACTTGTGTTGAGCAGACCTCTACCATGTGGGAGTGCTCTGTCAATGGTTGCACAGCAGGCATTTGCTGAGTATCTCTGAAAGAAGCTATCAACCTGCAATCCAGCCACATTAAGATCCATCTCCCGCAGGCAAGACACTGAGTCTTAAGATAAAAAAAAAAAAAAAAAAAGATCCATCGACTCTCTTTATCCCTTAGGAAAAAGCCTTTCTTTTTCCCCCATCTGCTGTTTGCTAATTTAATTCCAGTCACATATTCACTAGAATTTTTATGTTAACAAGTCATTAATTCCTTTCACATTTATCAGCAGCAGTGGACGCTGCTGTTATCTTGCATTGAAGACAATGGTATAGATTGTTCAGAGTCAAGGTTAACTTCCTGAAAGTTACCTCAATTGATTTAAAAGCAAAAACACCACAACAACCACCACAAAAAGCCCTGGTGTATTTTGCTTTTCAGCCATTTGTTTACCTTAAGGCTCTAGTACAGGGGAAAAAACACCAAACGACTTTCTAGAACAATGATCCAATTTGGGCCTATTTCTTCCTAAAGAATCTTGATGAAGCAATATTCTTAGTCATACAGGAAACCCTGTAATCCACCTATGGGGAAACACAGAATAAAACCTTAACCAAAACATCTTCAATCTAAAATATACAAATTTTCTTCATTCCTGACAGCAAAATTACCAGACTACTGACCAAGGTTCATGTGCTGTACTACACCTCCTGATACACAGCGGATGAATTTAACTATATTACAGCGCGCACATACGATGAGCTACGTGGAACAGCAAGACTATGTCAATGGTGGCAGATCCAGAACTGTGCATTTCTACCAAGATCAACTGCACGTGCATACAGCCACCAGTAACATGCATCTGTAGAATGCACAGTACTTGGAGCACAATTTGCATAGTGTATGAATGTAAGCAAGGCCCCAGTGTAATTCACTGGGGAGTTTTAACAACTGTCTAGCTACCAGGCACACAGAACTGCCCTTCTGTAGCTAGCAAGCATACAGTGAGTTGAGTCAGAACACCAAGAATTTTTAAGTAGACATTTCTTGCTGTTTTTTTTTCTCCCTCATCCCATAGCTTCACTCCCACTAGGTACATAATGCACAGGGTTTCTCTGAGAAATAATTGCAACCACCTCTGTGGTACATCGGAAGTCTCTCCCGATTACGTTATCTAGAAAGAAGCGGAGGTGACTGGGAAGAAGATGGCTGCTCCCAAAAGCTAGGACTGTGTGCAGATACTGCACAGAATCCTACATAATTACAGATCAGAAACAGGAAACAATCGCAATAGGTACATTTTTTTCTTATGGATTAAGAGGAGTCATAGGAACTGCAAGTCAAAACCAAACCAGTTTCCCTCTCACACTCCCACGGTAGTTCTGAGTTACTTGTTTCCCTGAATACACACATTTAAAAAAAATACAATAAAACCTAGGATATGTAACACATGAATAATTCAACTTCACAGTTATAAATACTCAAATTACACTTACATAGAATGTATAATCACAGAAAATAAAATTCAAGTCATAGAAAAGAATGAAGACTAAAGGGAAAGAAAAGGCAAGGTGGCAGAAGAAGTGATACAAGTTTAGGGCTGTGCCTTCTATAAAAGCCTTTTAAAAGTTTTTTGTTTTTTGTTTTTTTAATTTTTTTTTTAATTTTTTTTTTAATTGGATAGAGTAAAAAAAAAAAACCTTCAAGTATCTCCCCTACAGAACTCAACTCTCTGCCAGAGAAGAGGCAATGAAACAACATAGTCAGTTCTGGGCATAAAGAAGCAAGGTAGCTTAAGCTAGCTAAGGGAGGACAGATGAAAGATAGTGTACTGGGGTCCACTTTTAAAGCTGGATGTGTTGTATAGATTTGAGGTACCACTGCCACAATAGATTCTGATGTAGTACAGGGATACTCAGGTACATGTCTAGGTATTTCTTATTTTACCATTTATTGTGAAGAGGATGCAGCAAATGCACTTGTACGAAATACAGAACATAGAACCAAACCCATGGCACAGCCCTTACCATCAACATGTATATGGAGAGGGAGGGGATTAATCCCAAAGGCAATTTAAATAATGGTATTTTATATACTTATATTTATATATATAAATAAATGTTCTCAGCAATCTCAGGGTTGTTTTTAGTGCATTGCTGTAAAAAATTAGTGCAGTTCTCATTAATGTTTTAGCTCATAAGGAATAAGAATCTATACATCTGTTCAGTCTCTTCTTGCCACTCCTGAAACCTTCACACTGTGTTTCACCAAACTGAATGTTTGTAGTCAATTTCTTTAAAATAAAGTGGATGAATTCCACACACTCGGTGACAAGACATGGCAATTTTTGGCAAAAACAATTAGAAAAATATGAGGTGCTCTGATCTTAGAACTGAAACGTTTGTTGATTTAAAGCATTACACAATGCATAAACAAAATTTATAAACAAAAAGATATGTCTCAACAAATCTATCCTTCATGCAAATGTTTCTTCAGCAGCTAACAACTTAAAAATTTCTTACATTTGTTTATTTGGGGAAAAGGACTTAGACAAATCTGTGTTTCAAGTCCTCTCCTACAACTGGACCAAAGTTTTATGTCCTGGAGCTGCTGCTTCTGGACCCTTCTCTTTTCTGAATCGTTGGAGAAGGGGAAGTTTAAGTCTCAGAGATTTACACTTCAGCCCCAAGTTCAAGGACTCCAGTTTCAACAACAGCAACGTATTTATCTTCAATTTGAACCAGCAGGATGGTCTTATCTATGTGGGACCGACTACTTGGATCTCTGCTGCAAGGCACCCAGCGGTGAATCACCTGGAAAAAAAAAATAATAATAATCAAGAAAACATGAGTTTCACAGGAACTGCTGTCATTTCAAAGTTGTAGCTGATAATTCAGCTGATAATGCAAGGCAAAGGGAGTATAAATACAATACAAATATTGTAAAATACAAGGGCTACACTGTCTTAGCTGCTCATTTTTCAATGTTCACATGCCCTCTGATTAGCTGTCTCAGTCTTGCTGGAGATCTGCAGCTTAGAGGGCACTCAGCACTGGATTTGGATTTTAACACAACTTGAGCCAAATCAGAGCTGAATAGACCATGCAAAGTAAGTAACAATTGGAAAAAATTGTACACATACAGATTAAGAATATTTTGAAATAATAATTTTGAAGCCACAATACTTTTAAAGTATCCCAGCATTTTGCAGCACACAGCAGCACAGAATAAAGTTTATCAGGAGTTAGGCATAAAACCTGTAAAACTATCTTAGAGATGATATAAAATAACTTAAATTTTTTTACAAAGAGAAATGCTGTTGTGCTGAGCGAGAGTAGGAATATACCACCCTTAGACACAAAGCATTTCTCAGTCAAGTCCAAATACTACATCCTTGCTGTCCAACATAAAACTAGTACCTTTGATATAGTCAAAGGCAGCCTATTATTCTAAAGGCCTGAATATCAATCTTTTGGGTTGTCTTGTGCATGTCAGTGTTGGGAAAAAAAAAAAAAACAAAATCAAAAGCTCTCTAGCACATACAAACATAATTCAGAATACATCTTAACCTTAAACTCCTGGAAAAAAAGAAGGAGCCTCCAATCTAAAGAAGATGGCTAAATTTCATTTCCTTGAAGAATCCCTACAATGTTTTTGTGTAGTGAATATAATAGCAAAGCTTAGCAAAATAAAAAGCAAAGTTTGGAAAAGTGCTTTTTCAGCATAATAGAGAAATTTGTAATAACTGAGAATACACAGTACTCACAAACTAGATGCTTCTCCTTCACAATCACCCTTAGATGATTATTAACTAAGGGTCTTAGAGCTGTGAGGATCAACATAACCTACCCTACTCCTCACAACATATTTAGATACTTTTACAGTTCAAGAAACCAGATACAGAATACCTATTATTTTTATTGTGATAACTCAAAACCTGTCATAATTAAATTCCCAAGTCCTATATCCCTATGCAAAATAAAACAAAACACAAACAAAAACAAAAAACCTCATAACAACAAAAACATGAGGAACAACGTGGCTGTTGCTTCTTGTCCATTTTCTCTTCATTCTTGTCTTAAACCATTCTGTCCCGCTTCCTCTTTTGCTTTCTTCTGCTTTTAACTACTGTTTCTTTTCCCTTTTTATGCAGTAGTGAAGTCTATATACCACTCAGAACGTGGCCATAATTGTTACGTAGGTACCAGAGTACTTGTTTTTCTGATGCTGAATTTCATACAGGGATGCTGACAGAACAATACTTTGACAGGTAGACTGCTTGATGAGCAGTACCCCAATAGGTAAGAATCAGTTCTGTGTGTTTGCAGAAGGTGCAGGATTAAAAAGGGAAGACTGTCCTAAGAAGTAATGGATTTACTGATGATTTATGCTTATAACAAGCAGCAGAAACTATGTCATTCAAGTTAAATCTATTCCTCACAATCAGACACAAGAAGAAAGGGAGAAAGCACCAGATCATCCAAGGTTAAAAGATGTTCTTCTAAAACCCTGCCAATATACTGCACCAATAGCAGACAAGAAACATTCACTCACTCTCAATCTTTCTGTTAACAGCCACTGTACATCAGCATGCTGCAACTTGCAAGACAAACTGCAGAACCACAGAAATAATTGTCCAGTATTGAACAAAAGGACTCATGATTCCAGAATACATTTCAGTTTGTCCTTTTACGTTCATCATCTTTATGACATTATTTATCTGCAAAAGCGCATAAGGAAATCCCAAAAAGCATACTGTCTAATCCCAGCTTAATTACGAATATTTACAACAGCATTCTCCTACATGTTACATACAAGTTAGTTCTACAAGTTAGCCCTTAGGGTGGTCAACTGTGATAGTTATTTGTGGAAGGAACTTCTTTTCAGGGCTCTTCCTTCACATACACATACCAATATACTCCAAATCTACCTTAATGTAATGGTCCTGTATCCACTATTTGCAATGACATCTCCAGCTGAAATAAGCAGACTATCAAAAGATGATTCTTACTAAGTGTCAGAACAGACACATTCAAAGTGAAAATACAGTGGCATCAGTAAACCAATGCAGGTACAAAGGCAGCAGCTCTTACCTTGTACTATTTACCACTGGAAGAATACTCACTGCATAATTTTTAGACGAGAAGATCTATAAACAGTATGCCTTGGGTAAAAAACTAGAAGAATCTACAATGGGAGATGTTTTCCAACTAATCAGTGAATTTTTATTTTCATATGCAGATATAACACCCCTAGGGAAAAGTGAGACTGAGTTTCAAGTCATATGCTTTTGCAAGTTTTAGTTATAGCATATTTCCTTCGTAAAGGAAACATCAATTAAGTACTTATTACAAAACAAAGACACAAAGATAATTTGGCTTAATTTTCAGAGTAATTTAAAAACCAAATACTCTTAACCATTCAATTAAAGACTGGTTGGCAAACTGACCTTCAGTATTTTCTAAGGGATTGACAGTTTAAGGAAAGGAAAATGAAGGCTGGATGAGTAAGCAGAATGCCTGAGGTAACAGTTCATGACAAGAGCTGGAAGAAGGCAAGGAAGGAGAAGTGGCTGACAACATTCAAATCATCTTTTATCTTTTCAATACAGTTGCAGAAATATACTTTTGCTCCAAATTAGGATTCTAGAACTGCTCTTCCAGCAACACTGACTTAGAAGACAGCTGCTGATCCGACTTACTACTAGCATGTCATTAGCCTTGACACCTGGACAGGCTGCCTCGTCAAGACACTTTTTTTTCTTTTAAATTAATTAGCTTGTCAACTTCTAAACAAAAAAAACTTACATGGCCTTCCATGCCTTCCTGAGGACTCCAGTCTTTCCAGCTGTTTCTTCCAGCTTTTAGCCGTATCACCTCATCTGGCCACTGCAGCTCTTTCCTTTTTGACACGTTGATCCCTTCCAGTACTTGACTGGGATCCATTAACTATAAGTAGGAATTGAGTTTTGACTGTTAGTTCAGCCAAAATTTAAAAGACAGGGATTAATTGTAACCTTTTGCATACTTCCACAGAACTGACTTGACCACACAGAAATCGATAGCTGATTTCAATGCTGCAAGCCCAAGCTCCAAGCTCCAAAAATACTTGAGCAGCAGAAATGATGGAAATTGGGCTGTAGTTTCAGACATAGCTGACAATCTACTGTTTCACTGCTGCCTGCCTCCCTTCCCCAGCACTTCATTCAGTTACTCTGGTCCACAGAAGAGTTCGAGCCAGCTTAAAGTACACAAAATAGCAGCACATGGTCCAGTAGCAGGGAAGAGTTTAGTGACGACAAACTTTTAGGACTGGCTCATCACTTCTAGAGAATTAAACCTTAAGAAACATGGGCTTAGAGAATTCACTAGTAGGCTAAAAAGCTATTTTCCTACTAGCATGGTTTGTTGAGACTCCTGAAAACTTCTTCCAACTTAAGGGCAGAGAGAACTGCATAACATCCAGTATCCCATGGCATACAGCAACCTTGTCTGTGCCTTCCTCATGCAAAGGAAGGAAACAGTTTCATACAAGTGCCCTTGCTTGTAAACAAAAGCTTCTAAGCAGAAACCTGCAAAATTAGTTAACTTTGTCTACATTAACTAACTTAGTTAACTATTATTAAAGATGCAATTTATTCTAAAATGAGGTGATGTCAGCAATGAAGCCAAGTTTGTTATGACCTGACCTATTAAATAATTTTTTGGTCTTTCCCAGTAAAATACTGCCAAGAACATGTATGTGCAGCTACTGAAAGCTACAAGAGCAAGAATATTTCTGATTTTTTCCAGAACTCCTAAGGCTGCCAATAATTAATTTAGTCAACGGAATACTGTTTGCTATTCAGTAAGCCAGCCTTACAGCAATAACCAGAGAACACATACACATGTAAAATGAAAGCAACAGAATTTTTAACATCTATTTTAGAGGACAGTCTATTTGGTAGAAGAGAATAACACTAGTTGCTTTCAGTCCTGCAGGTGAAGCTCTTTAACTATATGCATCGATATGAATAAAACCAGACTAAGCATGGAGAAAAACTGAGTTCAGCTGACATTCTCAAGCCTGTACTACAGGAAGATAAAGTAAGTAATATAAACAGAGATGTCTAAACATGCAGCAAGAGTGCTTGTCCAGAAAAACGTTTCCTTACATTAGTCCTCCACTTGTAACTGCACAACTATTGTATACAGAGGCATATCAAGTATGGTGCATGTACTTCAAGGTCATGATTTCAGCAACACACAAGATAACACTAACAAAAGCACATGACTAAGGAAGTTTAAGTTAACTTTTTCTTCTGGACTATTCACCTGGATTCTGTAAATAACGTCATCCTTTTTGGCTTGCATTTGATTTGCAGGGCTTGCATTACCAGCTGACTGAGTTTCAGCTGCATTACTCCCTCCTTCTGTCCCTAGAAAGCCCACAAGGGCATGTTGTTTACAGGCTGGGATGCTTTGGCTGGAGCTGCTGGAAGAGGGCAGACCATGCTGCATGCTGACTCCAGACTGGCCAGTAGGTTCCATTTGGTTCACCATAGATAGGCGGGACTGGATGGATGATGGGAGGTTACGAAGGGATATCTGACTGGTGGAAGAGCGCCGACAAGGCACAAAGCCTGTTGTGGATGTGCGAAGAGATGAATGACGACTGCCGTAGCAATAAGATGAATGGCTAGCTACTGAGGCACGGGCAGGGGAATGTCTGACAAGGCTCGACTGCACAGAGTGAGAGCTGTGACTGGTGCCTAAAAATAAAAGATAGAGAATCAGGAGAGTTTGATAAAGCCTACCACACACGTTAGATTTATGACATACAACCGTTTTAGCAATTAAGTACAAAATTAATGGGTGTAATCAACAGCATCTAAAACAATGGAATCGTAGGATTAGGTATCTTGCACTTAACATAGCAGAGCATTTGAGTGTGTTTCACTTATTTTATCACGGAATCTCATTTTCTGTTCCATTCCCAATCCCTGTGAGATAAATCACTTGACAAATGCTTCAGCCTTGCTCTCACCACGTTAGCAGTTTGTTTCTTAATATTAATACCTAAGTTCCCAATACTGAAGACAAAACAGGAGATAGAGATGTCAGTGTTTAAAAAATGCAAATATTCTTTCTTAATATGCCTTAATGGATATTCAAAGACTCAGACTGGATCAGAAAATGTTGGAGCATATTTTTTAAGCATTAAGAAAATTTTAATGTAAAAAAATAGCAGTTTATGAATATTATTTAGTGTCATTCCTAAATGAAGAATTTGTATAAACGTCTTCAGAGCTGCAGAGGTACTCATGCTATGTAAAGAAAAAACCCAGTGTGTACAGCTAACATGCACATTTATATTCTTTGAGCAAAGGAAATATTTACAAAGCTTTTTCTTGGTTTTACTGCTTATTGCCTCACTAGATTCAAATCAGCACAGATTCTGTTAGGATTTAGCTAAAATACAATTGAAATAGATGATCCACTCTAGTATATAAATAAGAAAAATACAAATACATTAAAAATCAGCAAGCTGAACGTTAACAATCAGTAAGACAGAAGACATAAGATGAATCAATCTGTAGAGATTTGCTGCAAAGTCATGTAGCCTGTTTTGCAAGAATAACTAAACTTCAACAGGATAAGTCTCTGTTTGGAAACTTTCCATTGGACAAAACAGCACTGTAGTGTGAGAGGAACCCAAGCAGGTGTTAATAAAACAATCAAGGTTTGTACATCTGTCTGTTTTGTCTTTTCTGTTGGCCTAGGCCAGATCCAAAGAGTGGAGAGACCGGTTCTGGCTACAGGATTGTACTTGTGAAAAATTGTTATAGCTGTATTTTAACATTACCCAGAGTGGATGGATGGGTTGGTGGATGAGCTGCAGGAAGAGCAGTGGGATGAGCCCCGGGATGAGGTGCCACAGGAGGGTGCTGTACTGCTCCAGGTCCCTGCCCTGTAGGTGCATTCACTCCTCCTTGCGACATGCTGCTCTGCGACTCATTGATAGTGGCATTGTTACTTGTGCAAGAAGCCCCACCTCCAGCATCAGAATCTTCAATATTTCCACCACTGTTACAGCCAGCTCCACAACCTTTCCTTAGTCTGAAAACACAGTGCAATTAACATTAAGTCACATCATCTGAACATAAAGAGTCTAAGAAACACCACACTCAGCACAGTCTGTAAAAGTCACTTTTGTGGGTTTTTTAAATCAGATTTTTTAGACAATGCTATTTTCTCAGAACAGGCTTTGCAGGTATGAATGTCGCTTTCTAGGAGATTGTAATTTTCTTCAGGACAGCCATTCAAATAACAGCTATGATAAACCAAGAGCTGAGATAAAATAGCCTTTGGGAAGAGAGAAGGAAAGAAGTAACCTCTGAATCAATAGTTCTAAATACAAAATGCTAGAAGAATATCTTGTTATTTTGCAACAGTTTAGTAAATTTATGCTCCTTAACATACTAGTCATACACAGTCTCATACAGCAAAAACTTATTTAGATGAGCAGTAATTTTTTTTTAATTTGGTTTCTTGTTAATTTCAGTAACATAATTATAATTTTCAAGTACACATTGCAATTAATTGAATCATTAATTCTTCTGTGAATTTTGAACATTCAGATGGCAACTGACATTTTCCAGCATATATAATCATACAAGATTTTCACCATACTGTTTGCACTGATAAGCTTTAGACAGACACATAACACAGCATCTTTCTTCTTCCTTTCAATTCCTATTTTTTCTTTTGGTCCCACTGAAAATACACCAAGAAATCCTTTTTTTTTTCTTTTTTTTTTTTTTTTTCCCTTTGCCCCTGGGATCCAAAACAGGTTGGATCCAAATACAGTCCTGTGTTATGTTTTCACCTGTTGCTCTACCCACATGTCAGACAAGCAGATGGTAACAGAAGACATATGCCACAGACTACAGTAAATGCAGCACATGTTGAATATGTTCTGTTTAGATGTGCTGTAGATGTCTATACACATGACCATAGAAAAGCAAGAGGACTGTTCCAACTATGGGACCAGCTCCTGAAACTGGTAAGAACATGTTTCTGAATGCCATGCAAAGTTGCCATGGTTTGCTTTTACAGCCACAGTCATAAAGAGCCAGAAGTGAAGTAAAAGTTCTCACGGTCTACAAAATACAGCACAGCAATACTTTGTACTAGGTTACCTGAAGGTTATATGCAGGGTGGATTATACCAACATCACTAGCTGCATATTCTAGCTCTGACATACATGATAAACATATATATATTATACATTATAACTCTGAACAATAACTAAAGTTTGAGTTGCTGTGCACGAGCACACCAACACTAATATTTACAGCTGCACGCTGCACATTTATCCTAGTGAAGACAGCAAAAGTAATGAAAGTAATGATAACAAAAAAGTAACACAGAAGTTGCATCATCTTTCGTTATCAGACCTGAAATAAGAACTGTAATTGTAATTCTTGCATACAAACTTTATCCTCTAAATTTTTTCTAAGCTGTCATTCAGTTTGTGCTTTAATGTTTACAAGCCTTCAAGGCTAACTCTGTGCCAGGGCACTTGCCATATTCTAAGATGTGCTTGAAATAAAAGTTAACTTATTTATTTGCATGTAACTGAATGCTAGAAAATTATGCCCTGATTAGCATATATATGAGACTAGTTAATGAGCACAAACATATACTTGTGAGAACTCATTTTCTCAGCTCACCTGTGCCATGTAGACACTATGAAGTTTCTGATATTTCCTAAGCTGATAGCTCCTCCAAGAATCTCCTTAAGCTGTTCATGACTATCTGAATAGGATGTAGTCAAAGGTGAGACATAGATTGGATAACCAATTGGCTGGTCACAAGAGGAGTTGATCATGTTCCTCAGAGCTTGTTTTGCATTTTGGATACTTCCCCTTTCTGGATTGCGATTACGCAGGAAGACAAGCTCCTGTTGTTGTCCTGCCCACAGGCCACGCACACACTCCTTATTCACCTGCAAAAGATAAATGACCAAAGGCAAGTAAAAACGCTGTGTCAGCAAGTGAAACATGACAAAACTGCTTTCCATATGTAGACTTTTACATGCATATGTGTAACTGTGCTACAGAACCACAATTGTTCATATTTATGAAAGGGCTGACCTGATGGACACAGGCTGCAACAGTAAGAATAAACAGAGTGTAAGAACTGAGTGAGAAATAAAACATTTGAAGTCAGGAACTGATTTCTTGATTAAACACTTCTACTACAGAAGAAGCTGCCCCAGCAGTGATAGGCCGGTAACACCAAAGTAATTATTTGAGTTAAAAGTATGTAGTGGTATACCTTAATTATACCGTTGTGGAATATACACAAAACTTACCTTAATGACCCTGAAACTGAGATAGCGCTTATTCAGCATAATAATTTTGTATTCGTTGGTACCATCATCCATCACGTGACGCAGAGCAAGGAGGGAGGGAGAATTGGAAAGAACAGCACTCCGCCAGGCAGGGTCCCCTTCATGTGCTATAACTAGATTTTCTTCATGGGTTGTTATGGCTTCATAGAGAACAGAAGGATCATCGTATTCATCTGGAGAAGTGAAGTGATCCTGTTTCCAAGAACAGTCGATAAATTATGACTGATATTTCAGATGTAACTATGTATAAAAAGTAAGTAACTTGCACCTCAGGGAAGGTTTGCTCCCTTTAACTTAGAAAGAAATCATTCAAAGGACCAGCCTATTATTTATTCAGTTGAATTTTACACTAGACTTGTAGAATCACAGAAATGTTTGACTTGGAAGGAACCTTTAAGACCACCTAGTTCCAATCCTCCTGTCACAGGTAAGGACACATTACATTAGACCAGGTAGCTTAAAGTCCCATCCGGCCTGGCCTTGAACATCTAAGGATGAAAGACATGACAGGATATTCACTCATTTTCAGTTGTCTGCCTCTGTCACACGCCCCCTCCCCTTTATTTTCCTCCTCTCTTTCTGAAGCTATGTATTCTAATTTTGACCTCCCTAACTTTCCTGGAAACTAAAAAATCTCAGCAGTAAGGTTTGACAATGACACTGGCTGCCCTTACACACACACATTACCTATCTGCATATCTTCCTTTAGACACCTCTTCAAGGGAGGAAAAATAATAGTCCTCCAAAGCAAACCATAAGAGCTGAGTCTCTCTCTCCCAGCACTTTACATTTAAAAGAAAGAACATGCAGAAATAAAAAGAACCGGAGTCAGCTTTCCATCAAATTCCTCACCTGATGTAGTTTAAGTGACATTCGTATTCCAGGAACCACTACTTTCCTCAGCAATTCCATGTCAGCAAAGATCCATTCATCCCTAATTGAAGAGATACGGAAGTCGCCCTTAAAAAGGGCATGCAAGCCATACAAGAAGGATTCCAGATTACTGTTGAGGGAAAAAAAAAAAAAAAAGTTTGTCCATATAATTAATAAGGTAAGAAGATACTAAGCTGTACATAAAGGCACATCACTCTTCTCTATAAATAAGAGAGAAGATGGAAGGGAAAATACAAGTGAGCATTTGTGTAAGTAAAGTCTTGATACAAGGTGTCTACATGCACTAAAGTGAAGATGAATAAACTATATGGGCAAGAGATTGTATTTACATGGACTCAAGTAAACAAGAACTCTATGGAACACCTGGCTTTCTGGGGAGTACAACACCTCAGTGGACCAATCAAGAATAAGATGTAGCCACAGTTGTGGATGTTTTAGCACTAAATCAAGTCTTGATAGATAACTCATACTTAGTGGCATCATTTTCTTTTACTAAGCTAATGGAGTCTAGAGAAAAATCAAATGCTCTGATCACTCTTGTGACTGCATATCTCTAAGATCTTCTTGGGTAAGCTGACTGGTACTCAGAAGAACATTTCCATCACACTGAAGTAAAAACAGTTTTTACTTTCAGAACTCAATCAGCTTTGCGTTTTTTCTATCGGTTATCGCTGGAGCTTAGCTACATCAAAATGCTCACCTTTCAGTTGTTCTATAAAACAAAATGCTCAAATTCCAGTTCTCCCTCATGTGCTGTTCTTTGGTTATGTTTCACTGGCTGTTAACATGAATACAGGTCACACAGCCTATCTGCCCAGTGTAAGGAAGGATGAAATTAACTATCATCATCTTTCCTGAAGAGGTACTCATCCAACATGTAATCTAGGATCTCAGAGGGAATTTGAGAAAGCAGAGCTTACAACAAGATTTTATTACCTAGACATATGATGCGAAGCTGTTCCCAATGCTCTCCGCCCCAGAACACAAAGCCCATAACACAGTGTAACCAGGGGTGAGTCTTTACTTGAATCCAGTGGCTTGCAGTAAGAGGAAAAAAAAAAAGGTAAAAAGAGTTAAAGATTTGACATTAAAAAAACTGCTCTAAGGAATAAAACACCCAAATGCATACAAAGGTACACAAACCTTACGCATGTACCTACCCCATCAGCTACTTATTCAGACTTTCACTATGAATTTCTTTTTTTAAAAAATTTTGCAGGTATTCTACATATTTGTAAAGATAGACATGTACACGTTATATTTGAAATAAGATGAACTGTAAGTTGAAGGGATACATGCACTTTCCTCATTGGTACGGTGCACCCTGTATGCAAACTGTATTTATTAAGATTAGGACGTTACAACAAAAGTATTCTTAATGAATAAGCTGAATTCTTGCTTAGTATATGGAGTATATGATTCTGAGTCAATTAAAAACTTGCCCAGACTACAGCTTATTCAGGGGAATTCACCCTCAGCTCAAAGCCATTTGGAGCTGCATAGGATACATGATGATCCACATGGTAGTAGCAGCATTTAAGGGATTATCAATACATCCACAATACGTTTCACAAAATAGTCACTTAATAGAAAATGATTTTCTTTGGCTGGTGTTTGTCATCTGACTACAAAACCCTTTAAGTCTTAATTCCTTTAAGATAGGCTGCTACCTAATCTTTTAGCTTCAAAAGTAAAAAATTCTGAAGCCTCCAACAGTTCATGCAGAAAGTGAAATCAAATTATATTCCCATCCTTTATTGTCAATTAATTCTTGCTTATTTTCTATAAAATTCTATAAAAATTCTTGCTTATTTCCTATATAAACACTACTTGACTAGAGTACATACAACTTTTTGTGAACAGTAAAAGCATTCTCCTGCAAACACACTAGTGTTCCTATTTAAAAGGTGTGAGGCTTCGGAGGGAAAAAGAGTTAGATATGGCATGATTGCTTTCACAAGCCAATGGTTCCAGTTGTCCAAAGCAAAGTTATAGCAATAATCACTAACAAAAAGTTGGCAATCTTATAAAAACCTGTCACAAGATTATCTTAGGTTGATTTGTAAACACTGATATCTAAATATGCAACATCATAGAATCATCTACATAGATAAATAGTTCACTAAATTTCAACTGATTCTTTTAAGCTGGTAACTGAAAAGGCACTAGCAGACAGGTCATACCGTACACTTCCTTACTTACAGAAATTATTTAAATTCATGTATCTAGAGTAGAACATCAAAACAAAATAACATTTCAATTTTTTATTTTCTAAAAGATCAGTATTAAAATACTAATCTAAGGCAACAAGGAAGAAATGAGACAATTCCTGAATAATGAATACCTACCCTCACGTATTCATACCTACCTTTTCTCTTCGAGAGCAGCAATATTCTATCCAGTTCAAATAAATCATACAGAAACTCTCTCTTGAGATTCCTGCTAGACGGTGGTCATAATCTTCATCAATATTGGGGTTAAATGTTGGGTCTACATCAACATAATTGCGGTCTGTGCACAACCGCAGTCCTTCCTGCATTGTCTCATTTGCTAACCACTCCTCTAACTTGGGTGAAGTTGTAACATAATAGATGATTCCCTGAAATGGTAGTTAAAAATCTGTAAGTTATTACAATAAAAAAAATTAAAAAAAAAAAAAATATTAATCGAAAATTTTTCAACTCACAGATTTTTCAATTCACAGATAACGAACAAAAATGATACACAATAGAGTTTACTTAGCTCCCAGATACAATAAATTCAACAGCAATACAGATCTGTGTGTGTTAATATTTTTAATGACTCCCAAGAGTTTTTAAAGCATACTCTTAAGGAGTAAGGAAAAGAAAAATGGATGGAGCAGGCTAACTGCAGAAAAACACAGAAATGGGAATTCTTAATTGAGTGAACATGAATAGTATATTTCTAAATAATTAAAATACTAAATTTAAAGATGAGGCAGCTTAATACAGTCATATTTGGAGAAAAACTTTGTGTGAATGTACCTCAGAAAAATTTGAACTTAAAATTTTTCATGACAGATCATAAATAGGGAAATAGATCATATAAGGGATCTAAGGTCTACACAGAAAACTTGCAGATTTAACAGGATCCTTTTTTGAGCAAAAGGAAAATAAAAGAAAGAGATGGCTTTGGCTTTATCCAAGAGAGTCATACCAGTTACCATTTCATTTACAATGGCTACAGCATTTTGGTAATAGCCTTTCAGTTTCTAGTCCAGTTTCAGCAAGAAAGAACATCATCTCTCTTGGTCATTTTTCTGCTCTTACAACCAAATATCAATTATAAATGTCAGTGCAGCAAACTCTGGCCTCTTTTGATGAAGCTGTTCATAAAGCTATAATTCATATCACACCCATGAAGACTATTGGAAGTTCAAGGCACTAAACCACTCCCATCTATAATCCAGCCTAGCTCCCCAGAGTTTATAGTTATCTGACTCATACCTTCACATAGTAAGTGGTGAGAATTTTCCGGAGATCAAAGACTTGCAGCATGGATGCCGCGCTGTTGTCTGTGATACTATAACCCTCCAGAACATACTTTGTCACAAGCACTTCCCAAGCCAGCCAACGCTGCCCAAATGCAGCATTAAAGGAAAGCATGTGAGGAAGGTGACCAGGTTCACAGCAACAGAAACCTTCATCTTCCTCTACGCCTTCAGTGATGGCCTCTACTTCTCTTTGCTGACAATAAGTTCCTTAGGAAAGAGAAAATAATAATTTAAAAAGTTAAATGCTTCATACAATTGTTTTAATGTTGACTTGCATTTACAAGTGTTTAATTAGGTAGTGTTATGAATTAGTTATCATAGCCACGTCGCATTAAAAGTGAGGAGAGGCTTAGCATCAGATCTGTTAGAGGTTATTTTTCCTCAGGGGTCAGATGGCATAAAGTGGCCCTGAAGCTCAATTTTCAAAGCAAATAATTTTTAGGATGAAACAGAAAATATCTGAAGCTTTCAGACCAAAAGACCTGTTTACGGGACAGACAGTTAAGGAAGGGCAACACACTCACCTCTGAATTCAAGCCCTCTCAGCTGGAAGGTGACCAAGCCATTTCCTATCTCTATAAGGTGTACTAGTGCATTGAGGTAGTCAGAGGCAAGAATGAAGCAGTCCCCAGTACTGTAGTTTCCCCATCGACCCAACAACAAATCTCCACATAGGCTGTGCTGAAGGGAACGGGTTAAATGTTCATAGAAGATTGAATTCAGATTGTTATCATCTGAACCTGCAGGAAGATTGAATTTTTGGTTATCATCTACATCTGCAGAAAAACTCAAGCTGAAATGTCAATTATCAATCCACACTGAGTCTTACATTTTTCTTAACAGCGTTGTTTCAAGGCTCTCAACCTCATGCCCTCTGCTCCTACCCCAGCTCTTGAGACAACTACTCTGAATAACTGCTAAGTGAAGTTCAATACTTTTGACCAAAATTTTTCCCTCTTACTCCTCCATTTTCCAAATTATTCCTTTGGTTTAACTCATGCATCTCTCACCGATCTACTCCATATAATAACGTGCAAAAGCAAATATGCACAAAAGTATCTCAACAACAACTGTTATATAGGTCTCATCACCTATACATCATTGAGACTTCCTCAAATGTTTAGCTTTTTGTTTGCTTAAGAATAAAGAAGCAAAACAACTTAATACTGCAATTATAGATGAAGAAAAAGTAAAGCAGAGATACACAAAGGTAAAAAAGAAACAAGAAAAGTGCATAGAGAAGTAAACAATGAAGTAAGGAAAGAGATAATGAAGGAAAAAATAACAGGAGATGACAAAGGTCCAGTGGGGTTTGGAAAAAAAAAAAAAACCTCAGAGGACAAACTGATCACAAATCCCATAAAAAACAAACATTTGTACCTTTGTTCCTTGTGAGTATGTTAGTAAGTACATAACAAAAACACATAAAAACAAGTCAGACTAGGAAAGCTACCTGGATTTCGATCAAGCTGCGAAGCCAATCTTGTATTTGAATGATCCACACGCTTTGTGCTGAAATTAAAATGAAGTGTTCTTAATGAAATTTATTATTGTAAGAAAACTTAAAGGAAGAAACTACCACTAACAGAAATTGATAAAAGTATTCCCAGTGAAATATTTCTAAAAATTTTTCTTTTTTCTTCTTTAAGCATTTTATATCCTTCTGTACTCGGTCCTGATTAGGCCACACCTTGAGTATGTGTTCAGCTTTGGGTCCCTCACTTCGAGAAAGACACTGAGGCCCCAGACCATGTTCAGAGGAGGGCAATAAAACTGCTGAGTGGTCCTGAGCACAAGTCTTATGAGGAGTGGCTGAGGGAACTGCGATTGTTCAGTGTGGAAAAGAGGAGGCTCGGGGGAGACCTTATAGCTCTCTACAACTACTTGAAAGGAGGCTGTGTTGAAGTGGGGGATCAGCTCTTTCCCCATGTAACCAGGAATAGGACTAGAGGAATGGCCTCAAGTTGCACCAGATGAAGTTCAGGTTGGACATTAGGAAAAACATTTTTTCTGAAAGAATGGTTAGGTGCTAGAATGGGCTGCCCATGGAAGTGATGGATTCACCGTCTATGGAAGCTTTAAAGAAATATTTACATGTTGCACTGAGGGACATAGCTTGTTGGGAAACATTGGTGATAGGTGGACAGTTAGACTGGGTGATCTTAGAAGTCTTTTCCAACCTTGGTACTCTCTTAACAATCTTTTTAAAATAAACTCATGCTTTGAATACAATTGCACTTTATAAAGCTATAATTCTAATGCTTAAAAAACAGTACCAAAATTGCATACCTCTTGGTAGCAATTACCTAAGAAGCCAATGTAAATGCTGCTAGAATAAAAGCAATTGCTACACCATTTCAGAAAGAAGATCACTGCTCTAATTTTCTTCAGGAAAAATAAGATAGCAGCACTTCAAGGTGAACACTCATTTAGCCTTAGTTCCACGTTTAAGTAAAACACAGGACATAGTCTTTAAAGGTCTTATTTCACCTACTTGTAGTCTCTTTCCCAGAATTTGACAGGTCTGGCATAAGAAGTGATAAATATTGCACTTCCCAGGAAAGGATTCAGTGGAGTAGAGAAGAATGCTGACACAGCTGCTTGGACAAATAACATTGCAGAATCTGTAGGATGACAAGATTAAGGAAAACAAAGCAGCAAAAACTTTCTTCAAGCTTCTGTAACAATACGTGAAGTATACAGCAGCACTAAGTAAGAAAAAAGAAAACAAACAATCTCCAAGAAATACTGTGCAGCGAAGTATCTTTACAGTTTCTTCAGTTGTCAAAGGGCTTATTTTTGCTTTTGGAAACAGAAATAATTAATGGTATTTGTTGTAGAATTTTCAGATAATTACCACCAAATCTAACATGACACTAAATCGATATTCTATTCAATGCAACCTACATAAACAATACTCAAAATCTGAAATCACATGGTTAGTGACTCTTGAAAAAAGGAATGGAACATCAAAGAAAAACTTATGTTATTTTCCCAGTTGTTTAATTCCTATGCTTTTTATGTTAGAATTCTCTTCCTACTCTACCTGCTGCTGTTCAGTTTATAATACTGTAGCAAGGTAGAAAGCATGCTGTTTTTCATAAATGTTCACTGGACTAATCTGCTCATTCATGAGATATATCTCATAATACATAATGATTATAACATAACGTTTAGAATGTATAAATAAATACCTTCCCCCCCCCAAAATTCAGCAATTACAAAGGATACGTGGCACAGCAAAAGGCTGGGCAAAAGCATGGAAGGCAGATCCCCATGTTATCTGCCAGGGAGCAATGTAGGTATATACAAATCTCAACTTATAAAAGAGTTCCCAAAGCTGTAGGAAAGAAAAAAAAAAAAAGCATTTTTGCTGAAAATCAACATACTTTTGGAGTACAGTAAATAGCCTGAGGAGTTTACTGGTCCTAGAGCTGGTGTACAAGAAGCATTTGGACTTACAATAAGGATGCAATTATGAAGTGAGAGTCACATTAATACACACCACATTGTTCTAGTATCAGAAACGCATGAGATTTTTAGAAAGACTCAAGTGCTGTCTCAAAACATAAGTGCTTTGAGAAGGAAAAGTCTAATCAATGTGCTGTAAGAACTGTAAAAGTGCCAATAGGACTAATGATTTGAACATCAGCTATCAGTTAAGGGTATGGCCAGTTTTCCCTTCTGGATGACCTGAAACACACAGAGAGTTAAAAGTTACCTTGCTGAAGAGTATGGACATGAAGAAGAGATCTAGCAGCATGGTCTCAGTAAAACTTTTGTAATCAAAAGTAAAGAAGAGCACTGTGAAAATGACAGTGACGTACTGGCACGTTGGGCTACTGAATGATGAACGCAGTAACTTCAAGCCAGCTATTGTGATCATTAAAGCACCCAACCTGTATAGAAATTCACAAAAAACAGTTATTTATTTGCTGCCTGAAAGGCTATTTTATAGACCACCTAAATTGTTGTTCCCATGCAATGTCAATCTCCATCAAACTCAGGGTTTATATTTGGATTTTGTTCATTTGCCTTGTATGGTGGTAGTATGTGAGCATTTACTTATTTTAAAAGACATCTTCACTTTTTCTCTAGAGGTTACTAACCAAAGGATTAACATTATTTGTAAAACAGTCTTGCTAAGTAATATTAGAGGTATCCCTGTTTTCTGAACAGAAATAAAGCCTTAAATTTAGGTTATCAATATTGAGATGCAAAAATGCTGGAAATGCTCCAGATTAATCAGCAAGAGGATGTTACTGTATACCAATTATCATTATTTTCTGCATGCTATACTGGCCTAGGTTGTACAGGGAGAAATGCAACTTAATGACAGTGATTTTTTTTTTTTTAATTATTATTTTGTTTCTCTCAGAGATAGTAACTGATGGATCAGAAGGTTATAAAAATAATGTTAAGTATCTTGAATTTGCGGTCTGGATAATCATATTACAGACTGCATATCAACAAGGAAATTCTGCTATCATACTGCTAGGTAATTCTTCAATTTCCAATCTTTATAGTACATACTTTGATTTGAATGATTTTTCTGTGTGTAGGTTCCTATTTTAAAACTGCAATATTCCATTTCATTTAAAGCCAACAAGGTGACTCATTTCTACACAAGCTTTCAAATGAAGAAAAATGGTATTCATTCCTTGCCTTAGTGTTCAGGCAATAGCATTAGCTGTCTTCCCATCGATTCCACAACTATTTCAATTCCCACTGGAATAGACATATTCAGATTACTTGATAGCCTTTTCTACTTACTCAGTATCCAGTTTCTTTGGACTAGCAATACTCTTAGCACTGCTACTAAGCTCATTGAGGACTATCAATGGATAGATAATATTCTTCTCTATAAAAAGGAGCCAAATGTGAAGCTTCTCAAACCACATAACATGTGCAGCATCTATCAGGAGATATTAAAAAGATAAGATTGCACTGATAAATCAAATTCAGGTAACAGAATCTGGATTCTTGATCCAAGTCATTTTATGATTAAACAAAGAACAAAAGTATCCAGTTAGATATTAATAGAAAACTACTTTGTTGTTGAATGTGTGAATAATGTGAGTAATACCGATAAGAATCAAATTTATCCTAAGATGAAATCTCCAACAGAGTTCACTGTATATAGTTCTCTGAAGCACTTGAAAACTAGTATCTTGAAGAAACATCTACCTAAATAATTTTCAGAAAAAACTGAACGTTTTTCATCACGGTAATCATTAGCACAAAACTCAAAACTTAAAGCACAGTCCTCAAAATCTTAGTAGGACTGCTCTGAAATATATGATAATATAGCACATATAACATAGCATCATAATCACTTTAAAGTGCCACAGATTCAAAGTATGAGGAAGTGAGCAACTAAAACATAACTAAATCAGGTGTCAAGAAATATTCCACTGGTGACAATAATAAAGCAAGAAGTAGAAGCGTGTCAATCATTAACACAAGTTGGTCAGCAACTACTGCAAATTCAAAAAGTATCATTAGTGATACTTACTTCGGACTTCAAACTGATAGTATTCCTTGGTTTTCAGCAGCGGGTGAGAAAAGCAATGCCAAGGAAGTTGCTTTCGGAGTTGAGGCAGAACATAATGGGTCACAAAGCCTACCGTACCCACCAATGCATAGAGAACATAACTTAAAATAGGCTAAAGAAGAGAAGAATTGAAGAAATTAAGATTTTTTATAAAAAAAAAATAGAAGAGACTAAAAAAATCATACACTATAACACAACACTTTCTCCAACACCTAGACAGTTGCTCACATAATGGTAATCTGGCATATACCTTGTGAGTAACTAAAGATCAAACAGGAAATGTCCAAGAACAAAAACTTTATTTCTAAGAATTTTCCATTAATTTTAGAAGCATTTTGAAGTAAAAATAATACAACAATCTTCCTTCACAGTCCATTACTTCTTACCCATCTGCATTTCATAAGATAAATAATAAAGCTACTATCCTCTAAAGACCAAATCCACTTTACATTTTCATCTGTTGGATAAAAGAAGTATAAACATAAGAAAAAATAAATCATCACTCTTCTTATATTCTCAAGGAGAAGGTGAATAAGAAACCTTCAATTAAGACCAAGTTCCTTTATGACACTCAAGAAACATCACCATATTTAAATAGTCTGAAGACTAAATTTCACAGTAACATCTCCTATATGCTTTAAATTACTGGATATACCTAAGTAAAATCAGAATTACTTTATCTTGTTATAACTCTCAAAGCCTAATTCTATTGCACTACACAAAGGTAAAGAACATAAAGCCAAGTTTCTCAGATGTGGAAGAACGTAAAATTCAGGAGGAGTACTGATGTCCAAACATACAATAGAAGAGAGATTTCCCTTAGAAAAACCTTTACACCTTGCTAAATAGAACACTGAAAATAAAACAGCTGAAAGCTGAAGCTACCTATATGCATATGCTTTTTAAATTAGTTTCTAACTGTGGGCAGCAGTTGGAGAGTGAAATGCTTTTAAAATATGTACAAGAAACTTTCACTTGTCTGAAATAAGGCTTTTTATAAGCTAACTGATGTACTCACTTGAAGAATATTAAAATAAGTCAGTAACTGCAATTCTTTAGACAAATGCCTTTACTTAAACGAATTCAAGTACAGGATGTTGTGCCATGTAACCATCATCAAGTAGGATGCATATATACACTTTAAAGATACCTAAAGCAGAAGTATTACCTAGAGTGACAAGTCAAAAAGCACCTTAAAACTCAGAGGTTTTCTGAAGTACTGAAAACAAGCATTTCTGGAAAGGGCTACTCCCTTGCCCTGCAGTCTATTGCCACATTAGCACGCATTGCTGAGTCAATGTTCACCCTCTCAAACTTTAATAATCAAACCTTTTATATTTTTCTTTACGCTAACTTAACAGAGACAGATTAAGAGAGGGCAGTTTGTGTCAGGGGCTAATGCAAACAAACAAAGCAATGCAACAAACAAAAGCCAACAAACGTAACCACTTAAGGAAAAGAAAGAATTTGACACAAAATGCTGAATGTGAAAATGTTCAGTCATGTCCTTGTCACACTATAAATTTAAGGATAATCTAAATCTACTCATTCTGGTAATGTCATGGCTCTGTTAAGTGTTACATATCATTAGAATATTTGTATACAGAAAACAAGTGGCATACTTGATGGAACACCTTACCTGTAAAACTGTAAATACTGTACTGACGTGAATTGCAAAATAGAGTACACCAATGACTATACACACAATCAGGTCAGACTGCAATCGTTCACTCTGGGGAGTCAAAACAAAATAATTTTAGTAAGCATCAGTTTGGTTGTCCTCTTCAGAATCTTAATGTGCATCAGCAGTAAGAGTGAAACTGATTAAAAGAACTTCCAATTATGCCAGTGTTAATAGCTTCCAGTGAAGTTATCAGAAACGTCACAAGGGTTCAAATAAGTTAACTGGAAAGATATTTACTCAAAGTGCAACAGGATACATTAATATACTCAATACACTCTCTCATTCTGGACCATTAAGGGTTATAAGGATCCTCTGTGTAGCAGTGAAAAAAGCTGACCAAAAGTGCTAAGCAAATTTTCCATTTGTGACCTGTGAATTACTATGATCTGTGAATAGAGCAATTAAGAGCTCTCAAAACAGCTGCCTAGACAAAGCTAACTACCTGGCAGAACAACTCTCTCTCTTTTCTCCTCCTCTACAGAAGAACAAAGGATGGCTTTGGAAAGACCCTTAACAATGAACTTGAATTTCCTGTTATTTCAAAAAAAATGCAATAGAAGCTACACTTTGGGAAAGGATTAAAAAACCAACAAAATGATTAGCATTAAGCTAGTCACAAGAGGGCGATATAGGCTCAGGGTCATTAGAAGTCATAGTCTTCCAAGTTTAGACTTGCTCCCACTGTAAACACACACAGGAAAGTATTACAAGATTAACTACCCTAAAACCAGAAAAATACTTATGCAGAGCAATTATTGCTTCAAGGTCTTAACTGTTTGGGATGCAGGTTTTTTTTTTTCCTGCAATACAAGAAATTCTACTTTTTAAAAGCAATGAAAGTCATCCTCAGCTCCCCCACTCTTCCAGCAACTAAACATATTGAGTTAGAGCTCCCATACAGTCTTTCTGTCCTACTACTGTTAAGACTGTGATTTCTCGGCTCTGTTTGTAGTTTCCACAAATTTAAATCAGCTCATGCTTGCGTCTGCTGTACTAGGAGAAATCTGTTGATACTGTTAATCCTTTAGAGCCAAGACCTACACAAGGAGATGGTCTTTTGTAAAAGTTAAATTTGCCAAGTCTTTTATTTACTGCTCCAGATGCAGTATGCAATACTGATCATCACAAGATAGCAACATAAAGTGTTTAGACTCAATTAAAAAAAAAGTGATTAAAAATGCCTACTTACCACAGAATTTCTAAGCTTTTCAGGTAGAGGATCTTTCACTTCAGACAGAGGATCCTCGGGGTTTTTGTCTTCAGAATTAGGAAAAAATTTTGATTGCACTAAAGAGCTTGAAGAAAGACAAAAAGAACCTATTGAAAAGCATGCACTACTCTGCTTTTAAAAGAGTAACAAAACAAGATTTATTTACTGCAAGTTTATTACAAAAAAAACAATCCTAGTATACTAGTGCTTCCACATGGAAAAGTTTATTTATAACAAGATCTCAATTTTAGAATAGCACCAGTTCTCCAGCTACACACAGTGATCACTGCTAAAGAGAGAACCTGAACTGCCATATGAATAAATCTAGCTGCTTATTTTTCTAGGGACTGGCTAACAAATAATTGGACAAATGCCAAATTTCTAAAGTGTGATCAAACTATTCATGAAACTAAACATTAGCATGTAAGTAACAAAACAAAAGCTCTACGTGCTCCAAAGTTCAGACACAAACTGAAAACATCACTTAGAGAACAAAGAATTCCCTGACTTATATCCAACTGATAAATTCTCAGAAGACCCTGAATGAACACTCAGGTACCAGTCTCTGATCTCTCCATCTACAGAAGAGGCTCTGACTACATGACTCAGACTACTGCTCAAATTCATCCAACATTACAGCTACATTTAAATCCAAGTTCGAGTTCTGCCTAACCACATATGTGCCAAATGAGCCTCTACTGGCCATTCTGTGGAAGCCATATTTCTCCTACTGGAAGTATTTTGTTTTACATACATAACTACTATCTAACATACATAACTAACTACTAACATACATAATTACTAATCATCAAATCAGTACACTCCAACTCAGATGAACAAGACTGTTTCCCCATCTTGGATGGGTGCACTAACAGACTATCACTGGTTTGTACCCAAGATCAAATTCTAATTTGTTCTTTGACCATACATTCAAGGGAAAAATCCAGTATCAAGTTAAGTGAAAAAAGTATAGTCCAAGAAAAATCCACAAGTGGGCTTCAGCTTAAACTAGTTCTTTCAGCACCTCTTTAATCATTACAAATCATTACTACGCAAATGCACCAGCAGGAAGCTGGCACACAACTGGTAATTAGAAAGCATTTGAATCAGGCTTCAGTTGTAAAGAAAGGTTGCCCTTCAAAGGAGAAAGCAGGTGCAAAATTTGAAAATTTCCTTTTAATTACTGAACCAATACCATGTTATTTTTGACAATATTATTGTCAAAAAATATTTTAATATTATTTAATATTTTGTATCCAAAATCCCTTTGAGACTTGCTTCTTCCATGAAAAATGATTCAAAAAGAGTCACTTACAAAAGCACAGAAGGGTCACTACTTTGTCTGCTGAGATGATATGACATTGCCACTAACAAACCACAAAATATGGAGAAGAGAACTGGAATATGCTGCCCATCCCAAGAATCCTGGAGAAAAAAGACATGTAAATAAGGAGGAGGCAAAGTATTTAACACTTATCTGCCACATAAGAACTACGTTTCATAATACAAGAATGGAAATACATAAATAATCACTCTACAATTCTACAAATAAAAACTGGAATTCCAGTAGAAAAACACTGTTCAATGTTTAACTATAGGTTAGAAGTTCTAACAGTCTACACTCTTTAAGCCTATACTATCTTAATCATTTAGTAGTCATGAGTTTTCGTAACACTCAAGAATTTCATATATTTCCCAGGAGCACATCCTTAGAATTGCATTTTTAGTCACTTATTCTGAAAGCTCCCCATGTTATTTCTCAAGTTTTTTTAAAATAAGAGTCTGACTTAAGATGAAAGCAGTGTTTAATTATGTTTTTATTTTCATAATCTGTATTGAATCTGCAAAAAAAAAAAAAGACAGTGACCCTTCCCTACAACTTGTTTAACTTGAACAGAAAAGTATACAAAGGCTAATGAGACAAGCAGACATATCTGCAGAAAGCTAATCATGTTCTGTGGGTGATGAAAGTATTTTCTCTAACAGCTTTTTGCTATCTGCAAAATGAAAAAGAACCAGGTAATGCTGAATTTGAAGGAGCACATTCTACAACCAGTTGTAAACTGAAAGCATTTGGATCATTTACACACCTGAAACTAATAAACAGAACCAATATCATACTTTCAAACACAATGGCATCTTAAGGAAAGGCTGCGTGTTCATGTAGGCAGGCATACATCATCACTTTGACACTGGAAACCCTCTTCTATCTCTCTTTTCAAATAAACACAGGCCTGAAAACACTGTTTATGGTTTACATCACCAGAAAAAAAATATTTAAGAAGAACCCTTTTTTAGACATTAACACATCAATACATAACAACTCTATAAGAAATAAGACAGTCCCATGATTATTACAAGAATTAATACAGAACAGAACTGAAGGTGTCATGCTTTAGGCAAATAATAGCCTGGTAGCACATAAACAAATCATGTTTTAAAAGCCAAAGTCTGCTTTGTTTCTACTTTCCATCTGTTTCGCTGACACAAAAACTAAGCAAATATAAAACCCTACCAAATCAGACTAATATTTCTAATTCATTTTCTGCATGTTTGAGATTGAAGGAAAAAGAACAAAATTCAAAACATGAACGTATGCTGTATGTGCAATTTTGCTTACCTTCAGGGCACCATAGCACAGTCCATACAACAACGCTACTGCCACAATACTACAGATGAAACTGTAAAGTGCTGCAAGCAGGCTTGTGGTAGCTGAATATCATAGTGGAAGAAAAGATATTATGCAATTAGGTTAGCATATGAAAGACTTCAAGTTGTTTAAAGAAGTCAGCTCAGCTCCCCCCCCAGTATTAAAAACCCAACCCACAAAAACGTATCCATTTTCCCTTAGAAAAAGATTAAAATTATTTTTATGGCTTCATTTACATCTTCATTAATTCAACAGCGTTACCATGTGAATGCCTAACACTGAAATGGAAACAAGTAGAAGTAGTATAGTTTTCAACAGACTAAGCAGGCCAGTAATTCTATTTCTCAGTAATTGATCAGAACTATAACCTTTTTAAAATGCAGTTACTATTCCATATGTATAGGTCATGAATATAGATAGTGTAATCATCAAATTCTTTAACTAACCTAATCTAATGCTTTCGACACTGTTGTGGACAAACACACTCACCATTGCCACCAAAGACATGAATATCCAGCTGTTCACAGAGATACATCACAAATGTATTCACCTGAGGCAGGAGACCAATGAAGAATACTATGGGGAAGCATAGTGTAAACACTACAGGGGGGGAGAGAAAAAAATGAGTTGAAAAAGTGATGAATATATTAAAAATACTACATGGTAACGTACTCTTCAGCTCTAGGGTACTACATGCTACATTTCTTATAGAAGTGACTGAATATAGAAGTTACACTGACCATTATTCAGAAGTTTTGTTGTTTTGGTTTTTTTCTTAATTCAGTTCTAATCATTACAGAAACTCACACAGGCCAATTCAGACTTTAAGTTAAAAAAAACAACTGGCTGATATTTTTTGAACAGATTATGAGATTTGTACATTTTCATTCATTGTACAAAAAGTTTCTATAAGCCTATTTTTAATCACATGAGTAAGTCAACAACAGCCACACCAATTTAAGAGACCATTTCATCTCTAGGTTGCCTGTTACTAATAATGCCTGACAATTCTACTCATTTACCCATTCCATTTCTTAAAAATAAGTAAATAAAATTTATGTTGTCTTAACGCTAAACTACATATTTAATAGGAAACTTGACACGAACCATTAAAATCTCTGCAAATTACAGGATTAATAAAATGACGATAAATAAATGACACGATTTCAGTACATAGAATGGTCACAGTTCCACCCTGGGCAAATTGCTTACTTTCCACCTTAAGGATAAAAACATACAGAAACTATCATCCTCCCTACAAACAGGAGGGGAATCAACTCTTTGAAAGGGTAGATAACAGCAGAACCAGGGAAAATGGTTTTAAGTTGAGGGAGGGAAGATTTAGGTTGGATGTCAGGGGAAAGTTCATTACTATGAGAGTGGTGAGGTGCTGGAACAGGCTGCCCAGAGAGGTTGTGGATGCCCCGACCCTAGAGGTGTTCAAGGCCAGATTGGATGGAGCCCTGGGCAGCCTGGTCTAGTATTAAATGTGGAGGTTGGTGGCCCTGCATGTGGCAGAGGGGTTGGAGCTTCATGATCCTTGAGGTCTCTTCCAACTCTGGCCATTCTGATTCCCTACAACTGTTATGTTTAAATCTGCTCCTCATATGATAAGCTTTCAGTTCTGAAATATCAAACCATGAAAATCATCTTAGCAGACAAAATCTGACAGGACTTTCTACAATCTTAGAGACTTGTAGCTTCAGTGACCACAGACTTGGGAGGTATCTTGCTCAGAATCACAAGTCTCAATTTTAAGTTTCTAATGTTATATTCATTGAATGGTTGTATAGTAAAGGCCATCACTCCTACTTGATAAATACCTACTTAAATTACTAAAGTTGTTTTAAAACATTTAGGTTCAAGACTCGGGAAAAACAAATTCTGCTCCTTTTTACTGATTGTACTGATACAAGTTAGGAAATACATGCCTAAGGACCAGCTACTCAGGACCTGAAGAAAATATTTCAGAATTCTCAAATCATTACTCAAACAAGTCTATACAGCAGGCAAACAATACAATGTAATCAGACTGGGTGGTTGAAACGTGTCTTCATCAAGGTCTGAACGATTAACTATCTCACATTAGTTGTGAGATAGCAAATAAATGTGCGAAAATACAACCTATAAAGAGCAGTCTAGCAAAAACTCAGCATTTCTGATGGCTTTTGAAGTCCTCAACAGAACTATTCTCTCATGGGCACCATTTAGGAGAATAGAAATCACCTGCTGTTGGAGCAGATTTAGATTAATGGATGAAGTTTGATTTGTGGAATAGGTGAAAATTTCTACCAGACCTCACCTGTCTGCTGGTAAGGACACACCAATGGCATTATCTAAACACAAAGTCTGCCTTGCACCTGTGCTGTTCTAACTGCTGTTCCTGGGAATGGGAAAAAAAGCAGCTGAGTGTTTTCCTCTGTGCTAACAAAGTATTTGCTACTAGCCAGCTTCCCCTGTGAAACAACGATTTCTGAAACAGCATTTCAGCAACAACACTATGTCCAAAGGCTGAGCAGGGAGGGGTTTTAGGGAGTGCCTGGGATTATGCAAGTTTTATATGTAAATTTTTTAAAAAAAAAAGCTGCATTCAGAACACTTCAAAAAAGTCTGGAAGGTGAAGATCAGTACATCTTCCTAAAACTGAAAAAGACTAAGCACTTTTAAAAAGTAGGTCTTTCTTCAGAATGCCCATACCATCCATATATAAGGCTTTCTATTTAGGTTTGGGGATATGGATATACACTATGAAAATGACTCAAAGTGATGAGAAAAGATTTCTGAGGTCAACAGAGAACAAACAAAGGGAAAATGAGGCCAGTTTTAAGAAAACAAAACAAGAAAACAAAAAAGTCTGCTGGATTAACTTCTTGCTATTAGCTCCACAAAAGATATAAAAAAGCAGCTTTGAAATGGTGTGGACAACACTGCTCATAAGAGGCTCAGATCTTCTCCCTCTGGGCACTTAAATATAGTTTTACTAGCATAAAGTAAAACTGCATGAGGCATAAAAATCAGAATGTTCTTAAAAAAAGATCAAGTAATAAATAATAATCCTTAGAGCACCCAACTCTTATTAATCAATAGAAAGTCAAAAAAATAATCAAAGCCAAGACCAATACTTTATTTTTCTTGGAAAAAAAGACTGTCCTAAAGCAGAAGCAAGCAATCATAACATTAAATCATTGTATTGCTTTACACACAGATGTTTTGATGTAACTGAAGGGCTGCAATGAAAAACCAGGTGTGTTCAAAATTACAATTAAGAAAGATTTAATCTGCTTATAATGTATTTAATAATTGTGTCCATACTGTCCTACTCAACTGCTAAATAAAAATAACCTGCTTTAAGTCCCAGCTCATTTGTGACAAGGTCCTCTGCAAGAGAATGGGCTATGCAAGTCCAAATCATAACATGTGCCCCATCCCTGGAGGCATTCAAATCTAGTGGGTGGCAAACCTGCCCATGACAGAGGAATTAGGAATTGATAATCTTTAAGGTCCCTTCCAACCCAAGCCACTCTAAAATTCTATGATTTAATTACTGAGCAGGTAGGTCCCAGCACAGGGTAGCATAATGATACTCAAGAGCAAAGAAGGGCATGTTCAGGGCCGAGAATGGAAAAATCAGAAAGATTTGTATAGCTTTTTAATTATGACACCATTTTACCTGACAGCTCTTCAGTTTGTGACAGCAAAGCTATAGAAAGGAACAGTTTTCCTATAAACAGCAGTAAGTTCCTCTTTCCAAAGAAAACTAAATGAACGGCAGTTAGGCGACAGTGCAACAGCATCACAACAAGGTTCAACGTGTAAAGAATAAAATAGCTCTACTATGGTGAAGTAAAAAATTCAAATTAAGGAAAAAGCCACTCACCTATAACTAAGTCCCTGGCTGACAGCAGCAGCAATGGGTTGGTGAAAGCCATTCCATACAACTTGAATCTCGTTGTAGATATGTTTCTGCTGCCATAATCCAACAGCCAAATAAGACCACAACATAAACAGAAATATACAGGCCTACTATAGGCTATGATACGATTATGACCCTGTTTAAAAACATAAAAAAAATTCATGATTAGAAGAAAACCTATTTTGTTTTTAACCTTTCTGTTATAGTTTCAGAATCAAAATTCTTTTTTGCTCATCAACTACTCCTACAATGTGTTGTCGCCTCAAATTTTTTTCATAAAATCCTTAAAATATTGCCTTGCAGGGATAAAAACAGATTTTTTTGTGGTTTTGATCTATATAATGAATATACAAATACTTAGACTCAAGTTACTTTTACACTTATTCTCACTTGAATTTCAAAGCATGTTTCTCACAACACTAAATGTCAGAAAAACTCTGCTGAGGCTTCATAAGCAAGAGAACAATATTTTGACTAAAAAGCAATTGATGTTTATTGCTCAGATACTGCTCTGCTGAAAATGAAAGCATTTCTGTACCCACTAAAATACACAACTTACTGCCTAAAATAATATGAATGATGTGCTGCAGAGGAATAAAGCTCTACAGTATCTTGTTTAGGATGTTACAGAAGTATTTTGTCCTGGCAAGCTAGAAGATGCTAAATAAAATATAAACATTGTTCAGCATTACCACATTAACACTTCCATGCTCAAATTAAAGCTCACTAGAGTACTGCATACTCAGCCTAAGAGAGTTGGGAAATAGTCTGTGAGCATGATAATACCACTGAATTATCTACAAGGCTAGAACAGCATATCTGCAAAGCTTTTCTATTTCATTCTACAACAAATTAAAATACTAAAAATATTTTTCTCTGTTACTGCTGGAATGCATCCAACAACTTATCCTTATACTGTTCTACAGCACAAGTTGCCTTAAAACTGTAGAGGAACTCTTTATAAGAGACTGTAGTGATAGGACAAAAGGGATGGTTTAAACTTAAACAGAGGAAATTTAGGATAGATGTTGGGAGGAAATTTTTAATTCAAAGTAGTGAAACACTAGCAATGGCTGCCCAGAAAAATTATGGATGCCCCATTCCTGAAGGTATTCAAAGCCAGGTTGGATGGGGCTCTAGGCAACCTGATGTAGAAGTGGAAGGTGCTCCTGTCCATGTCAGGAAATTGGAATTAGACATTCCAACAAATTAACAGCCAGCAGTGTGCTCTTGCAGCCTGGAAGGCCAGCAGTATCCTGGGCTGCATCAGAAGGGGAGTGGCAGGTAGCGAAAGGGAGGTGATGGTCCTCCTGTACTCTGCCCTTGTAAGGCCCCATCTGGACTACTGTGTCCAAGCCTGTGGCCTCCAGTACAGGAAGAATGCAAAGCCATTGGAGTAGGTCTAGGGGAGGGCAACAAAGATGAACAAAGGGCTGGAGCACCCCTATCAAGAAAGGCTGAGGGAGCTGGGATTGTTTGGTTTGGAGAAGACCCTTGCGAGACCTCACTGCAGCCTTACAGAACTTAAAAGGAGCTTACAACCAAGAGGGGAACTAGCTTTTAACATTGTCTGATAGTCTGACAGGACAGAGTGGAGTGGCTTTAAACTTAGGGGAGATTTAGGTTAGATACTATGAAGAAATTTTTCCCTCAGAGGGTGGTGAGACACTGGAACAGGCTGTCCAGAGAACCTGTGGAAGCCCCATTCCTGGAAGCATTCAAGGCCAGGTTGGATGGGACCCTGGGCAGCTTGATATGGTGGTTGGCAATCTTGTCCATGACAGGGGGATTATAACTAGATGATCTCTACTGTCTCCTCCAACCTAAGCCATTCTATGATTTTATGATCCTTAAAGTCCCTTTCACCCCAAACTATTCCATGATTTTGTGATAGAACAGAGAGAATAGGATTTGCTAAAAACAAACAAAAAGCACAGAGGGGAAAAAAACATAGCATAAATTCCCTTATCACGTACTAAGAGAGTATAAGCCTCTTGTACCTCATGAGAAGTCATATAAGAGAAATGGCATAACATCAAGAAGATCAATTCTTTGTGGAAATTTTACATCTGCAGCGTTAATAGAGGTATATGCCTATGACTTACATGTCGAGGGGAAGAAGAATCTGGTTGAACGCTCTGAAACCAAAAAGAAGGAAGTTATCCACTCTCCTGTAAGTACATTTTATTCCTCTCTTCCCATCCCTTTCTCTCTTTTCCACCTTAATAGTTCTATCATAAAGAAAGAATCTTTCTTAATTTCAATACTCCTTATGTATCATTAACACTTGCCTGATAAAAATGTCTAATAAAAACTAATTCAACTGATTAAAAACTAATTCAACTGATTAAAAACTAATTCAACTGATTAAAAACTAATTCAACTGATTAAAAACATGTTTAGAAGCAATTGCATAATATGAAAGCATTGAGGTACATCAGCTTAACAAGAAGAAACACACAAAACCACCATGTTTAGTTTGCGGGTTTCTTTTTAAGCAATATGATTTTGTTTCTCTTTCAGAAAACAAAAAGTGAGAGTACAAAAAATCAAGGACTGTTTAACAAACACGCAGAACTATTCTAGTGAAATGATCTTCCATAACCATCTATCAAACTTTCCACTAAAGTGAATTTTGCTTATTTCTTTTTAAAAACAATGAACACATAGTTTTTTCCTTAGCTCCAAATAGCCTGCAACATCCAACATAACTATTTCTATTGTTTACACAAAATGAGGATAGGAATTGAAATACCTTCAACAGTGAGTACTGACAACTGGCTATAACCAGGCAGAACTGGAAGACCCAGATATCCTTGAAAAAGCCCTCAATAAGTAGTACAGAGCCCAGAAATGCAACTAGAATTGCTAGGATGACAGCTAACACGTTTTCAAGGATCTCACGATTCCTGTATGAGAGGGGAAATTAAAAAAAAAGAGTATTAAAAGCTAATTATGTTTAGAAAAAGGTGAAAGAGAACAGCAAAGGTCAGAAGTTAACAACAGATATGCTGTTGGTAGCAAAGTAGTTAAGAAAAGATTTGAACTTGTGTAAATTATTTTAGTACTCTTAGCAAAGATAAAAGCTGCTGGAATAACCGGCGATAGCAATTAGTTCCTTACGAAATCTACCTCTACAAAACCACACTACTGTACTGAATACTTCAAGAAAGGTCACTACCAAAGTGTGAATACTTGATACATTCCCAAAGCTGGTAACTGAAGGTTGATGTTTATTTTATTCCACTAAGTAAATGGACCAGGGACAACAGTTACAGTACTATACGACTCTTTGGAAAATGCTTTGGGATATCATGTACATTGTCTATTGCTGAAATAATTACACGTATATGCAGGTTCTAGTACCCAGTTTGTTTATTGAGAAACTTACTTTCTAGCATTAAAAACAGATCAAACAACGAGAGGTTTTTTGCTTAAGATATCATTCTCACACTCACACAAAGTGAGAGAGCTTTTGCTAGCATTCCTGAAGAAATAAAAAGTAGCTTTTGTTGTCTTAGAAACAAAAAATTATTTTGGTATTATTATTTCATCTTTCACACTATAGTAAAAGCATTCCTAAGAGGAATGCTCACAGCTCGTTTCCATTTTTTAATCTTTAATTTCTGAAGTCTAGTAATATACAAGGACCTCACCTATCAAATAAAGCCAGAAGAGTTAATCTATCAAAATTTATGCTAATCCAAAGTTTAGGCAGTATCCAAAAACGATAGTACTGCTTCACTTTTTGAGCTGCTTCCTCTTGAGGTTGCAAGTGGTCCTGAAGGTCAGGGCTCAGGTCAATATCTTGCTGCTCCAGTAGATCTGTATCTATGGTTAGCAGCCTGTTCAACCTGATCTGGGGAAGAGAAAGCTAAAAGAAAGTCAGTATTAACAGAAGTTGCTTCTTATGTATCACTGCATTCTGTTGAATGCAGCCTTGGGAAAAAAAAAAAAAGCGCTACAATTATTTAGTTTCAGTTTTAAGAAATTAGATTTTAAACAGATCTGTGACTTTTACTTACTTTTACTGTCCTTACTATGGTAAATGAAGAGCACTAGCAGCAATAATAGTTCCCATTCAACACAACTGTGGCATTTTAGCATATGCCTTATTTCAAAGTACATACGTACTAGGCACATTATCCCACTTACTCTGAAAACTTCAAATTTGAAGACTAGTAAACTGATACATGAGCAGTAATAATACATATAAGAACATTACAAAGTTCTGAGTTAAAACAAAATATAGTCCATTTCTTATAGTCAACTAATCTGCATGCACATCCATGCTGAATGGTTGGTATTGCATGACAAAGCCACATGTACAGCCATCAGTGGTCAAACTCATTGCATTCAGAATATACTGAGAGACACACAAAAAAAGCTCAACCCTAACCTTGTTTGTACAGTACAGTACTGCTTATGCTTGACTCTAGTTGCTCACTATTCTGTATTCTGTCACTTCAGAATTCTCTTGAATTCACAGTAGTACTAACATGTGAGGAGAATACTCAAAGCTAAAAAAAACCACCATTATGCACTTGCATACTGTTTAACTCAGTTTTTACATTAACAGGCCAAGAAACGCCTTAATGCACTGACCTTTAAGAATACTACAATTAAAATATCACTTAGTGAATAAGTTAATGATTGTTAAGGCAAAAAATAAAACTCAAGTCATACTTAAAGTGCTGACATTATACAGTTACACATTACAATTAAAAACTCATTTTTGTAGCTTCTTCTTAATTCCTTACAGTATCAGAATACCGTAACTATCCTCAGCCAGCTTCTCCTTCCTTTAGTATCTTCCTAGAAAGATACTAAAAAGAAATAACAAAGGAGGAACATCCACTTTCTAAAGAAATTTAAAAGCTCATTTTGGATAAGCTGTGTTAGAAAGCAGGTGCTTCTTTTGCAGTTTTTTAAAATTCTGATCTTGTAAAAGGGAGAATCAATTTAATGTATCATTTCTCACATTAGTAATCAGTCGATGTTCCTCTTTGGATATGTGGCTCAGCTTTTATATAGATAGTTAATTTGCCTTATACAAAAGCACCTGCAAACATATCCTCAGTGGAACCACACTGGCAGTTACATGTCAGGGGCTGGAAATTAAACAAAGTTCTAGTAGGCACTAAATGAAGATCACATTCTTGATCAAAAGCATGGTTGGGTAAATTGAGGTTTCTCATTATTTTCTCAAGTGTGAAAACAAAATTTATTCTTCCCCCTTGATTAGGTTATCAGATACTTCAATGATTTTCACTTTCTCTTTCTAGCTTAAGAATCATTGATCTTAGGGATTTTGACCATATGCAGTGTTTTTGTATAGAAACTGAAGCAGTAGAGTTCAGAATTATAAGCACAGATACATGTGGACTTGACAACAACATAAAAGGTTGAGGCCAGAAAACTATCGAATTCTAAAGCCACTTGCAGTATGAAAAAGCTTCTACCTTTTTCCATTCACTCTTTCCACTGGAATTAAACTTCATACAGCAGATTACAGTGAAAAATGTCTGAACTCCATTAGGGAAACTGCTAACATTCCCTTTGTTCAGAACACAAACAAGATTTCTTCTTTCTGCCACAGTGTACTTTTGCAGTGGAAAGAAGTGTAGCTTTGTTCACATCATCCAGTAATCTCTGGACAAAGTATCTCAGAATATCCCAAACAAGGACAGAGATTCATATTCAAATTACCATGCTTTAGATCAGTGGAAAAATTTATGTTTACATTTTAAACTGCTACCCAAAAAGATGGATTTGTATATACAATGACAGCTGAATAATACCAGTTTATCTTCACTGAAACTCTAGTAAAAAACCTTAACACAAACAACCACGATGATTAATCAGATAAATAGAATTGTCAAGTCTTCTGATTTTTTGCATGCTTTAAAAATAAATAAGAAAAACTTACTAGATCATGTGGGTAAAAGTGAACTGAGGTAGAACTCGATACGTGAGAGTCCGTGTCACTATAAGAACAGGGGGAAAGACTTCATATTATAAAACTACATTTGATTCCAAAAGGCCACCAGTTTACTACTGACCTAAATTAATTCTGACCACTTGTAAACTTTAGCTAAATGTCATCCTCTAGATTTTTCTTTAGATCACATACTTAAAATACATGTATCCACTTCACGAAGGCCTAGTGAATAATCAGGAAAGAAAATAAACCTTGATAACAGCCTTGCATATTGCGCTAAGTATCCTCAGTAGATCAGGATCACTCTTCACCCTTACACTTGGTTTAACTTTCCCAACACACGATTTGACCAGGCAGCCCATTAGTTCTCTACACAGATTACCACGATGAAAATTACTCCTCTTAAAACAAACAAACAAACAACACCACAAAGATATTTTATAATCTGTTAGCTACTCATGTGTAAACACACAACTCTAAGACTGTGAAGTGTCTCCTGGGTGTTTACAGTTTGTTAACTGTACACGGTTTTTACCAAGTCCCAAAACTGACAAAAGTAGTACACATTCAAATATACTGACTGAAGTTGTTTCAGAAAAAATGTAAACTTTAAGCAAAACTTAAACCTCTGCCATAAAGAGCAAAATTACTTCACAATTTCCATTTGTTAGCGAGGAGGAGAAACTTCTTGCTGTAAAAGAGTCCATATCCAACCACTGCTTTCCCCCCCCATAATTTTGTATAGCATTTGGCTGTATGTTTTCCATATGATTTCCATAGCTGTAAGACTGGTATCAAACTTACACAAATTCCCTTCAGTTCCTTGCCTTAACATAAAAATAAACATTTCTTAACATTTTATTTCACTGAAACTGAACTATCATCCTGATAATCAATTATTTCGATTTGACCAGTTTGCTCCTTTCATCAGCATGTACAGCTTCACAACAGCAGCCACCAGCAAAGCCATTGCATCTGGAACATGCAAGCAGTATAGGCAGGCATTGATAGCTTTGTGCAAGGAATACAGAACTTTTTCTTCAAAGTTCAACCCTACAAGAAGCACTTGCACGTTTTCACGAGAAAGATTTGAAGATGGAAACTTTGAAATCCATTACTCCATAAATCCAAAAGCTATTCCACCTACACGTGGTAGGTTTTTAAACATTCAGCATGATGTAACAAGTTTAGAGCAGTTCTGTGTAGTGAAGTGGATTTTAAGGCCAAGGTTTTGGTTTGTTTTCCGTTTCTTCTGCCTCCTGTCACTTCAGAGAAAGGAAGCGTATCTTTCCAACAGCAAATGAACTTTCCAGTATGTAGCTGCCTATTTCCACTGTAAATAACTTTTTTTTTTTTTTTTAAACAGTAGGCACGTTAATACTTTCCTGTATTGTTTCATGCCATCTATGAACTTGAGAATAAACTTATCAGTTTACATTTGCTTCACAATTGGAAGTTCATTTTTAAATAAGTTAATAGCTATAATAATTAATAGCTTCCTACTTCCCCCAAACGTGAGTTAAATTCTATAAAGGAAGACTCCCAGTTAAGCCAATCAATAAAGCATTTGTCAAGTTCTCAGTTTGGACATTTATCACTTAAACCAATATTAATCTTCGTTTTCCAAAATTTGCTAAAATGGGTAACATTATGCACACAATTACTGTCATCTCCTAAAAATCACTGAAGTTTCAAAAGTAAAAATGTACAGAGAATATCTTAAATAGATTTTTTTTGTAGTTCATAATAAATAACCTTTTAAAATTAAAATAAAAGATTTGGTTGCAGTAAGACAACAATCACCACTCTTGACTGGCCTTCACACACACCAGATGTTAGATGCTCTTCTTGCAGCTGGCTCAAAGTTCACAAGTGACATGTCGCAGCCCCCTGTCTCGTAGAGCGTAGAACTGAACTTACCTATAAAAAAAAAAGTTAAGAAGAGGTCAAGACTTCATGATATTTCATCCCACTGTCACTAGATTTCTATACATCAGCTAACTATTAAGATCAATTTAGATATATATATTTTTTTTAATCAGTGTCAGAATAGAAGATGTGGTAACGTGCGTCACCAGCACAAAGACACTAGTTATTTAATCTTTCATTTGACATATATACAGTAAACAGCAATAAACTAAATTAAGAGTTGATATTTACAAGATGTCACCATTTAACACAACAAAAGCACAGTGTGAGCTTCTTTCACCCCCCCCCACCCTTAGAGAATAACCAGGCAAACATCTTGCAGCGACAAATTTCTTCAGTTCTTTCTTCCCAACCTCAGGAGAATGATCAGTAAATCATTCATCAACACAGAGGAATCATGCTATGGCAGAGATTCCTCAAGTGTCCAAATTAAAATTCTTTTGAGAGGTACGTGTCTACTATTTGGAAAGAAACACAAAGGGTGAATAAAGTGACCAGAGATGCTTCATTAGTTAGATCTCTAAAAAAAAGTAAAAAAAGGAATGGAAGGCAGAGATCTATTCTACAAAACAGAAGTGAACACTTCAGTGTAAGATCAAAGACCACAATCTACCTTCTGAGATAAACCATTATTGTTAAAGGAGTTCCAGCAACTCCAAGTTACCTCAAGATATTGTTCATTCAAAAAGTTTCAATACCAACTCTATTTCTAAATATACAATTAACAAAGAAGCAGACTGAGATTCCAACTCAGATGGTAAGTTACCTTGCTCACAATATGATGTTTTTACAGTGCCCTTCTCTCCACAACAATTTGATCAGAGAGATAAGGACTGTAATTTCCCCAGAAGGTCAGTTTAATATATTTCTGCTCAGAATGCAGGAAGCTGATTCTGAAGTTGTAATCATCTCATACAGCCCTGCCAACTTCTCCATTTCTCCTAGCTCAAAGTCTTTTACTCAACTCATGATGCCAGAGCATGCAATATTTTAAGAACATATTTTAATCAGTTAAAAGAAAAACAAAAACAAAAACCTACTATGGCACATTTGAAGCAAAAGTCTGCGTAAACCTCTCAGCTGCACATCCTGCAGCCCTATCTCCTGATGATTCAGGAAAACAAGTAGCCCCAGGAGAAACAGCTAACAAGCTAAGAGCTTTCAATACCTTCACAAGGCTCTCCCTAGCAGAGGGGCACCACCCAGACACATAAGGCAGACGTGCTGAGAAAGAAGATTCCATTCTGACACAGCAGCTACATGGTTCAGTAGTTGCGTACAGAATGCATCAGAACACAGTAATGTAACAGCTCTCCCTCAACATTTAATTGTATCTGCTACAGATATCTGTAAAGAAACATGAGCAAAAGATTCACTTCTTAAAGTCGTTTTGGTTGTGGGCTCTTTTGAATTTTTGTTGATGTTGTTTTTGTTCAAGTGACTTCTTTAATTAGTTAAGATCTTAATGAAGTGGTTTAGTTAAGTATCCCCTTGTTTTTAATGCTTGATGTAATGAATGTTTATTGACAAAGTTTTAAATTCAAGCTGGTAGGCACCTCCTTCCCCACAACTAATAGCTGCAGTTACACAGAGGTTTTCTGAATTGCAACAATAAAGAACATTTCAACAGCAAACATGAAGATAATCGATAAAATACTACAGATTGCTCTCAGGACAAATTTGTGCATAAACCATGTAAGAGAAAAAGTATTTCAACCAACCAGTCCTTAAAAGAAACAATGATGTCTGGGTTACCTTACATTCTTCATGTTTTTGCACAAGCTACTGAACTGAGAGCCAGTAAATTTATTAACTACAATAATGTGATGCTAGATCAGAGAAACAAGAATATATTACAAGATACAGCTTCCCATTCCTTTAGGCCGAGATATTACATCAGATAAATTTGTTTGAAAAGACATTTCCTGCACTGCGTTACACATATCAAATGCAAAGGACTTCAAAACTTGAGAAAATTTAGCATAAAACCCTTCACATAATGAACCTTCACACCCAATTCATCTGAGATTATCAACATTTACTGCTTTTGTATTGCTGATATAAGTAGGGCATGGCTGTGGGAGCATAAAACAAACCTGGTAACTAGAGATGTAGCAGACAATTTCAACAGAAAAAAAGAAATGCTTAATTTCAATTATTTGCACATAAACTGCAAAACAGAGTCAGGTTTTGCTACATCTGCAATTCATCCCTCTACTGAAATAGATTTCCTAATGAAACTCAAGAAAAGCATGACTTGTCAATGAAACAAAGCTGCTCTTTAAAGTTAAACACACACAAACCAACAAAGATCCTCAGAAAAAAAGGAATGAATTCACTAAAAGCAAAAAAAAGATTACAGATCTGTTCAGTGCTGCCGAGGAAGCAAACCATAAGGCATGGCTGCAGAGCCCAGGAGCTCCAAGTCCCAGCAGTTGTGCGAGACACAGCAGTCTCCTCACAGCACTCTAGAGAGGGATCCCAATGCTCATAACACCCAGCACACATGGATACACCCAGCCTCTGGGAGTCACCCAGATTTTCTTTCCCTCGTATTCCTAGCTCTGTTACAGTTGTCTCAAATATTTTTGATAGCATCACAACAAAGCAGCTTAAAGTTTCCTCTTCTAAGGATTGTAGTATTATCCAGTTGTGAACAAGCCAAACAAAGCCTTATTTTAAAAGTAAAGAAATTCAACCAACATGTGTACACTAAATAGAAATGCTTGCAACTTTTCACCTAACTCCATCTCAAAAGAGGGCTTCAGACTCTTCACTGTACTCTACCTGAAATGCATCATGAAAATAATAAACTGAAGTTACTGATACTCAGACACAACTCCAAAATACGTCAGCGTTATGGCACGAAGGGAAGAAAAGGTGAACATGCTTCCTTCGAAACAAACTGTTTCAGAGCAGAAAGTATCTCATCATTGAGTCCGAAGACAGCCACATAAAGGTTCACCTATTGTACAGACTGATGTTCCCACAGATATGGGAATCAATGAAAGCAACAGAACAATGAGCTTACATAGATTGAACCTGGAAGACAAGTGGCTCAGCATCTGCCTAAAGCGGTAGACTGATGTTTTTCTTCAGTCATATTATTTTCAGCATATTTCTTAATTTTCCATCTAATAAATATTTCTGCTTCAAACCTTCTGAAAGATAGTAACAGTTTTTGCGCATGTTGAAGTCTGCATCATTATCAGAATCATTACAGTACTGTAGTAAGTAGTAGGTAAGTATATTTCTTTAAATCCTATTCAGGACAACAAACAAAGCTATCAAAATTTGATTATTCTATAGCATGCAAGGAACTATCATTTACCAACATCAGAATTTACCTTCAGCAGCAGTATTAAAACTTAGAAGTTTTCAGTTTGGACACTACAAGGCTGTTCAATTTTTAATTTATGGTATTTATCAGAAGCGTAATTTATCCATTATATGCACAATTCCACAACTACAAGAGGGACGTTTTCTACAGGAACAGAGGGAAATGAGTTTATCTTCTACTCATACCTTTCCATACTTCACCATCCACTAAATTAAAGTCTACTTATTTATATAAAAAGCACTGAGAAACTGACTGATCAGCACAGATATCTACCTTTAAATGCAGTATGGGAAGTTTCAGCCTTCAACCCACCATGTAATTGCCTTTAAAAAACAAAATTCTTCAATAAATCTGAGATATTGCTGCTCACACAAGTGATAACAACTAAAAGAGCCAAATGTTGCAGTACAGATGCATCATCAAGCTCCAGTTGATTACTTCTTAAGAAAATAAGACGACCACCTACGTGAGGACAACAGGCTGTTATTTCACCCTACTTTCAGATACCAGACATCTGTTTTAGTAGCTTAGTAACTGGAGCCTGAACTACTTCGCAAATTCTAATAGCCTCCAAAGCAAGAATTCAAAAATAACACCCATCACCTACACATGGAAGAATGAGATATTTATGAGAGTAGAAGGCATTAGCATTGCCATACTGTGCCCAGAAGACGATCATTCATTTCAGTCATGGTGTCCATTTTGCAGCTTGCTGTATTCATATTATGTTAATCATTCCTGCAATCATTCCATAAGTCTTTTTTTGCCCTTCATTTCTTATGATTTATTTCTTATTCACTGCTGCATTCTTTCTCCACCCTTTCAAATTCCTTTCCCCTCATCATTCACGAAGCAACAACGTAACATGTTGAAGTCTTTCTACTTGGAATCTGGAAGACTACAAATAATGCTTCAAGGCTTCCCTTGCCTTATTCAGCACAAATCTCAGCAACTGTTAAGAATGTATAGTCATTACGAGACTGATGTAGACTACTTATAACCCACCAAGATCCATCCTTCACGTAATATATCACCAAAATCAAATAAATTAATCTTTGAAACAAACAAACAAGTGTGTCATTTTGAGAGCTAAAGCTTCGTATCAGCACACATACAGAAAAAAATGCAGAAGCACATATTGCATTTGTGCACTAGGAAAAAGTTTTTAAATGCAAACAACCTGACTGTCTTCCATATGAGCTGGAAAATGCTAATAATTTCAGTAACAAAAGAAATTATTGTGCACTGTATTGACAGATGTGCATTATACATCTCCTCATTTGCTCCATTTGGCATTTTTATTATTTTTAATGGTGATTAATATATCACCAAAAAAGAAAAAACAAACAAACAAACCACAGAACAAGCTACTACATCCCTTCTCCCTCCAGCATATTCTCTCTGAAATAACACAACAGGATCATCTCCCTTCTTGTCATGCCTGACAAATGAATTGCAAATGTGAAAGCCTGCTCCATTTTATCAGCTATTCTGCTCTAATAAAAGAATACCCATCATACAGAACGCTCTGAGAACAGGCATTAGTTCATAATGCGGATTTTTTTTAAAGCCTGCTCTAGAAACGAAAGAATTTTATTTTTAAGAATAAAAACAGATTTTTGCTATAATAGCTTTCACGAGGAAGTATCTAAACGGGTGCTTGAAGCTCCAAAACAAACAAATATAAGATGTAATAAGGATTTATTCAACTGATCCGATCCTAACAGTTTTCTGCCTCACAATGGCAATGTCTTGCTCCGTAATATTGTACACACAACTTTAAAAATTTGTATAGCTAAACTTATCTGAAGACTGCAAATGTATTCCATTCCAAGTGCAGCAAAAGTGACTGCTAAGAGAACCTAAATGCAATGCTGAATCCACTTCAATTTTCAATAAATCACAGTAAACATAAGCTCTTAAATAATTCAAATTGAAGAACTGTACATAAAACTCTGAATTCTATAAAATTTGATCAAAGTGTGGGCAATATGAGCCATATCCATCAAATACAACACTAGTAGCTTTTAAGAACAAGTCTTAACACTATCTCTGAATAGATATGACCACAGTAATCTCTGAATTTCAGTTACATCCCAATGACCATTTCAAACAAAAAAGTCTCCAAATTAAGTAGCTAAAAGAACTTGTAGCTTTATGCGATAGGCTTTCACAGTTTAGAGACTCATACTCTTAAGCATTGATCTTTCTATCTAGAAACTACCAGAGCCACAGAATCTAAAACAAGAACACACGTATCACATAAGAAGAAACATCTGTTTTCTTATATTGTTGCTAGTAGATAGAGAAGAATGGCTACTTGCTAACTGAACTCTTATTTAAAGGGGAGAACCGCAGCCCAGCAATGCTTGAAATCTTCCCCATTAATGCAGCAAGACGACAAATCAATTATCTTTTAGAGCAAGGTTACAGTAAGATCTGTAACAAGTGTTTTTAAGCAGTGTTCTAATCCAACCTTCACTTCTGTGTTATCACAACTGGTAGCTATTTAAAATACCATCACTAACAATCAGCAGCTCTAAATATGGATATCGTAGCAATCCGAGCAGGAATTCCACGTTAACACTGAAGTCATCACCAGTTCAGGGCATGAACAGATAACTGCAAAGATCCAGGCCAAGAATTTTTCCCCACCTTCCTCCACATTACTGTGTCACAGGAGATCAGTCCCTTCCTATAACCATCTGAACTTCCTTCTCCTTAGCAATTTTTATTAACTTCAGAGAAGCTAATAAGGATTTAGAAATATTACATTAAACAGACCATGAAGAACTAAGGAGCACTACAGGACTTCAAAAATGATGGAAACTGAAACAAGAAGATCCATATTTTCTTCATGTCTCAATCTCCTACTTTTAAGCACACAGTAAAACTATCCTCCTTGACATGAGGATTTCTTTTCAAAGAACAACTATGCAAGGCTCTTCTGAAAGATCAAGTGTTCTTAGTGATCACAATAGGTATCTTTTCAGGAATCAGAGGTCCCCCAAATTTACTAGCAATCTCACCCTGATTCTCTTCAACAATGCAAGGATACTCATGTTACATGTGCTATATAGTTCAAAAGATCTTATATCATTGCTACTTATGCATCCTTAGAATGCTTCTCACTGCAAATTTGTTAGACAGAGCGCCTGGAAACGTGACGATGAAAGGCTGGGCATTTATCAACAATATTGCTTTCTAAGAAATGCACCTACAAGATCCAGAAACAAAGTTAAAGTTAACTGTTTTTCACTGCATTATTACCAATATAGCTGCCGTATTAAAACTTCCATGTCACCAAGGTTACATAAGGCCTGCATACCAAGTCCATCGTGCAAACTGCTACCGCCTACAGCAGATGCAGTGGCATGTGATGCTTCTAAGTGGACACTCCCATTTCTCACCAGCAAGGAGGTGCTAGCGCTGAGCACAGCTGCCTGGGAGGGGGAGCGGGACTGCACTTTGGCCTGGGAGGAGGACTGCTGGCCTTGCTGACCATCTTGAAGGCTACGAGAAAACACGGATGGGGGAGACATTACCGGGAAGGAAAGGAAATAGCTAAAGTGAAGCAAAACAAGACTTTTCCTTAAAAAAAAAAAAAAAAAAAAAAAGTTAAAATTACAGCATTCAGAAGCCATTTGTTAGGGTTAAGGTAACCCATGAGTTCTGTACAACAACTTGCTTGGACACTAATTTTACACTAGAAGATACAAAGATACAGTTCTCACTCAACCCTTTGGAAGCACTGTTCTTACGGCCTGATGGTGAGCTGGGGAAATGCTATCCTTACTAGTTTTAATTTGTGGTGCAAAAGTAAGCTACTGGTGGTTAGTCTAACTGTATCCTGTGATCTCTCTCCTTCTCTCAATAGTTAGGATGCTCATGGAGATATGACTTCAATTGTTTTGCTTTGTTGTCAAAACATCACCATCTTCCTTGCTATTACTCTGCAGTCTTCCTATAAAACGTCTTTAAGATTAATTAGAAAGCAGATATTGGCAACATACCTTGTGGATAACCACAGTTGAACCAGTAGAACCAGAATTTTTGGGGGGAGTATGTCTAACAAGTTATTAATTGGCAAAAGTTTTAGGACTATTTTAAAGTTATTTTGATAGCACAGCCCTGACAATGATTTTGTTGCTCAGTACTCCTTACCACAACAAAATTCTCCTAAACCCAGAGTTAGAAATTCATTCTTCAGAGAAGTGAGCAAGTTTAAAGCTATTAGCAGACAACATCTGAAAATGTTAGTCCTCTTCATAACCTACTCAATGCAAAACTATTTTAAGCAGCTGTTTAACAAATATTAACAATATTTTTAAAGCAGTTTAACATTAAACGTGGCAATATCTCCAAATACAAGTGTCACGTGCATCAGAGCTATGTTGCAAAATTGGTGGTTTTATTACCCTTATGTTATACATTTAGAGAAGTTATGTCAGTCATTAGCTGGAGGACACTTGTTCAGATTAAGAAATCATCTATTTATCAAGATAAAATACAAAATTATATAAAAATAGTTTGTTAAAACACAAATTCTTTATCTTCTGTCTTAGAGTATTCCCTTTTGAAATACAGTCTTAACCAGCTATTGCTTTTAACATTTTACTGCATACAGTGTGATGCTACAGTTGGCAAGTGAGACAACTATAAGACCTTACTAAGAGTTGAGGGTGTCTGTCTGATGCAGTTGCGTGTAATTATTTTCTAGAAAAACTGATTTCACTTTTCCTTAGAACATCACTGCAAAATATGAAAATAACTATAAGACCAGGTGTTAAGAACAGCTTCATGCAAAATACAACAGACATGCACGCAGCTGACGAGGTTAAAAATTGCAACCCACACTCTAACATATGTGAAGGTTTATTCAGCGCTTTGCTGTTCTAGACAAGGCTATATGGCAACAGAAGCCCTACGGAAGCTCACAAACTTGCCAGCTGTCACTGTCTCACTTAAGCATTATCAGCAACACCAAAACAATGCTGTCTTTCCATTTAATAGTAGGTAGGTTTCAAAAGGTATACACAAGCTGTCGTTTCAGAGGTTATCCACATCTGTCACAGTAAAAACAAAGCAAAATATCGGTAATAACAGATTGCATAAATATTCAAGAAACTGTTATACTCTAATTAATAAAACTATTCTTAAAATTTTGCTTGAGACAGTCACTTATCTTCACTTATCAGATGCACATGCATACACCATTAGCTACACAGGATGCAAATCCATACATATGTTTGAAGCAGTCAAAACACTGTCAATGCTTAGGCAGGATAAAAGGAGAGTAAGCTGTTCTGGTTTTTTGTTTCTTTCCTGCTTCCTTTTTGTTGTTATTTCCTGGTTACTTAAGTAAACAAAAAGAAAGTGCACTTGCATCTAATTCAGCTTGAAAGCCGCAAAATTTACTAGACCAGATTTTGTCTACCACTGCCAATCATGATGGCATTATAGACCTATCTTCTACTTGACATTCCCCAAAGGGAACAACTAGGTATAACTCAGACTCTGTGGAGCCATCTCCATGACATCTGATTTGACATCATAGTTAGGAGATCAGGTGATTAATTTTTTTCTGTTAAGAATGGAGATAAGTAATATCAGGGCCACTAAAAATGAGTAAATCTAATGTTGTTTTAAGTTAACGTAGGAAGTCATACTGATTAGCAGTACTAGGAACTAGTCAGAAGCAGCTCACCACAAGCATATATGGGTATATGTATAGTTGCTGTGGTAAGGAAATATTTTTTGGCTGGTTACCACCAAAATCCTATGTCCTTGTCGTGTTACTGGAAGAAATAAAAATCACACAAAAATGAAGTTATCCATATAAAAGAAAATCAGACTACTAATCTAGAGATTAGAAATAATCTGTAACAGTAATAAGTACAAATTTTCAGATACACTCCATAGTTTGCAGTTCAAATGGAATTTATGTCAAGCAGATAAGTAAGCTCTTGGGTGTTTAGTTGGCCTAAGACAATTTAGCTCCAAACCAAAGGATGGTCATTCAGCTGCACAAACACCACTGCGCACAAAGTAACCTCTCTCAGGTAAGGAGCTCCAATTACTCCACACAATATTTTACTAACAAATAGATAAATTGCACCACCCACAAAAAAATAAAAAATAGCAGGAGAAATGGAACATAAGAGTAGAACAGCAGTGACCTAATAGAAAGTTTAAATATCCTTCACTAAAAAAATAACGCACTATGTTTTATTCAGCAAGATTAGAAATATAACAAATTTATCTGAAATCATATGATGAACTTCTGCCATATACTGCACTATCCAATTCAATTTGCAATGCAGAAGAAGTCAAGCCTTCATTTGTTAGATTTTAGGCACTGTTCTAGCCGTTCTCTTTCGCAAGGAAAACCTAAAAATTCAGTAAATTCAGCCTCTAGCTATTTCAGTTGCACTACAAAAGACACCAAGATTTCTCCCCAACTCATTTTCCATTTACTTTCTTTTTATCTGCTCACTTTCTACGGTATTTTACAGCTGAAAAAAACCCACACAAATTCCTAGAACATAAAAATAGACTGCTCCTAGTGCTACAAGTTAGTTTAGGATATATAATAGTATTATATATAGTATATATAGTATAGGATATGTAGTAGTAGTATTAAGAATGTGAAGGAATACTGACTGCATATGCTTTATACTTATCATGTTAACGGGAAGAATTACTTTTATGAGTAAATGCTCCTTACACAGTAGGCAGTGTTATTCTTGGCAGATTCTCCAACACTTGAGACAATAACAGAACCAAAAGATTTAAAAAGCAGAAGATTTAAAATCATCTTGAGATCCCCATTTCCACTGTTTGAGGTCACAGGCTGAGCAAGGAGTTGCTGTATGTAACATATCAGTGTGTTCAGCGCTGTTATTAAACGGGCTAGTGACAGATTCCCAAGACGTACATATATATACGCTGTAAGCACTGCACACAGTGCCACACAGTTAAATTTCATATGGAGCAACACTGTGTGTTCGGTAACAAAGCACTGTTATTACTTTATTGTTACTCTTTTCCTGAAAAAAGTTACAGGATGTTCACACTATGGTTTACCTTTATTTTAGATTTGGATCCTTTGCATGTGTTATTTAATTCTTCAAGATGTTGAAGAATTTTTGTTGTTGTTGTTTAAGTGCTTCTCTCTCATTATCCACATAAATGAAAAGTGATTACAAAGATACTAGACCCTAACACTTACTCTCTTAAAGGAAAGAGAAAAGCAAAATTGAGTCAGGTAAATAATATTTTCTTGGGTCTTTTTTCTTGCTTTAAAGTTTCTGAAGTTTTTGACAAAAAAAAAAACATGGAGTCTGTTAGCATTAGTTCACTTCATTATTTATCTAAAATTAACTGTAACATGTTAGAGACTGGCTACCCTGATAATTTTGAAAATAGTGCCACATATACATGCACAATTCAACAAGCCCACAGTGACATGCAGTGACAGCTTGAGGAGGTTATGGCGGGGAAGGAAGTAAAAAATGCCTTTCTGGCAACACTGGTGGGTGTGAGGAGAAGTGGTCTGCTGCATGCATGCTAAATATGGTGGAACATTTAGATACCCTACCTGAGGGGTGATCCGATGAGCAATGTAGGAGGGGTAGGGTTACTCCCTGCATTGTGCCGGCGTCGTACTGCCTGACGCCTAAATGTGCTGCGTTCACGTCGAAATGTGACAGTCTCCTCGCTGGCTTGTGCTGCTGCATCAAGACAGACTTTAGGTCAAAGAAGAACCCATCCTATTTACGTACAAAGTAACTTAAGACTCCTTTCTTCCCCCTGACCCTCCCCAAATTAAAGAATTCCACTTGCAACAAGAAAAGTGGCTCATGCGCTGACTGCTCAAATAAACTGCTGCAAGACAGGAGCACCGAACAACTATTAGTAAAGATCCAGGGAGGGAAAGCAGAAGGGAGCAAGGGGAGGTCAGGGAAGGGCTGCGCATGTTTATATGAGGTTTTTTTAAGTACAGCTAGCTCCATTTTTTCCCGAATGGAAACAACCAAATTTCAAAAGTATCAGATATTCCATCTCTTACGCCTTACACAGGGCAGAAGACAGGCTATTCTCAGTTTCCCCCATTTAATAGATAGCAATAAGAGTACCCCCATGGACAGCCTAGTAATTCTCTCACTCCTCACTACAAAATTCTCTTCTTAATTCTATCACCTCTGCCAAACAAGCAGAGCTGAGTTTTACTTTATCATATCCCTTCAGGAGACACTTTCACAATACAGTGTTGTTTTTATTCCTTTTTTTCCTCATAAGCATGAATAAATGCATGTTGCCCTCTTTACAGTAATTATCCTATGGCTTGGAAAAGCAGGAGAAGCAGGCACATAAGAATAAGGGTTTGCTTTTTCAACTTCTCCCTTCATCCCCACTTCCCCTCTAAGAGTCTGGTCCACCTACAAAGCAGCACTGTGAAAACAGAAGTTCATAGGTATGCAAGATGGTCAGGGGGTTAACTCCTTTGGTTTTGGCTTTTGCAAATTCTCCCTCCCCTAAACCCACTTATACTCAAGTTTCAGTCTAAAGAGGATCATCTTTGGAATTTCAGACTTCACAGCATGCCTACAAACTCGGTAACCCTCCTGAGCCAAAGATGACCCTCAGCCTAACCAATTAGAATGAGGAGCACTAGAGATCTGACAGGTCACAAAGAAAACTGGCTTACACAGGCAAGTGGAAGGAAAAAAAACTTCCTACAAAAATCAATGCAAAGGGAAAATTAAAATCTTGAAGGGGAAAAAAAAACAACAGCTTGGTAGACAAGAAGACTGAGAAAAATCAAGGATTATGTCAAGCAAAAACAAAGAAAAACACTGCTGGAGCAAGATTTGTTATGGAGGGGCGGCAGAAAGACTGCAGGCAGAGAAGCCTCCATTCTCTTAAGCCCTCCAAATTAAAACATCCCTGTCATTAAGTTTTCCAAAGTTACTAGAAAAGAAGGTAGCACTGATCTACAGAGTAGTAACCTACTACTGCCATGTGCTACTGCCACAGCTCTGGCAATACAGAAGGCATGAAAAAAGAACCCAATTACAAACCATAGGTTAAGTGAACATTGTATATGAAACTTCAACTTATAATTTGCTTTAACAGCTAAGAAGCTACATAAAGAAATTATCTTAAGACCAATCTTAAAGTTACAAGCATTTCACTGCCAAAAAATTTAGAAAATCCTTAATTCAATTGTTTCCAATATTTTCAAGAAAACCATGAGGTGAAAGTGAGCAATCCCACCCCTTCACAATCAGTCTTTCATTGTAAGCATGAATAGGTGATAATCACTTCTAAGCATATTTCAGCAAGGATTCAGTTAAAGCATAAATCGTTAACCTTCATGCTTCATTTTAATACACAATTTAATTTCTTCAATTTCTTTCTGGCTCTTACATTTAAGTACTGGACAAGTGAAACACCAGACAAGACAGCAGGAATTCTGACCTTTCTTTCTGATGGACTCAGTTAAAGCACAAGAGATCAAAAATCAGGTACTGATTGCAGATGCCAATGTGTAAATCTCAGCTTTTCCAGTCCATACATCAGCATACACAACTTATACATGCACCCAGAATACAGTTTCTACCGATTTCAGATGCAAAAGCAACAACATGCATTTCTACAAATCAGGCCACAGTTAAGCAACACAGAATAAAGAACAGCAATTGATCTTAACTGATGCATAAACACCTTAGCTACCATTAACATAGTGATGGCCTCTATTTACATTTTAATTATCACTTGCACTTATTTAGCAAAAGCACTCAACTGCAATTCTTCAAGGCAGCATACTTAACACATCTGTTTTTATTCTGATATCCCTTCCTCAGTGAACACATAACCTTCTGCAGCAGTTCAAACCTAGCTTATAGAGACACTAGAGGTCCTTCCTACACAGCTCTGATCTACCAGCAAAGCAAGTTTACTTCCTGAACAGACAAAGGGAATCTCTTGGGGGTAGGGAGAAATGAGGAAAAAAAGAAAAAATTAAGTATAAATGAAAGATTTAAAAACAAACACAGCCCTGCAAAAACAAAAAAACAGCCACAATCTAAATTCCTATCTACTTTCAGATGAAATTTAAACATGCACAGACAAATAACTCTGGCATTCACTAGCTTTCCTATCATTTCATTAAGCTTTAAGAGAAGTAGGTTTGGGGATAGCTTTCTACATAATCTGCCAAAGGATTTGGGATTTATCTTTAAAGTTCCAGTCAGTACACATACGCTCCTCCTGAATGCAGTTTGTGCCATTCCAGATCACGAAGCAAGTCTATTCACTGCTTTGAAAAGGCAGCAGAGCTTTTCAGCCAAGGAGCTGTGAGTCTCCTAACATTACACAACACCTCAAGCTACATGTTGAAACCATGACTTAAAAATTGAAAAAAGCCAGTTATGCAGAAAGGATTATCATTTGTTTGAAGTGTAGAGAGTCACTAAGTTAACCAAACAGAGCTTTTGGGGGTTAAAAACAAAAACAAAAACAAAAAAACACCACCGTACAAAGCAATACAGGATTTAAAAAACAGGTATGGAAACAACGTTAATATGCATTATTTGTATTTCTACTTGTCTTTAAGGAAGAGAAGCAGTACAGCTACTCCTGATTTTGCAAGTAGCAGGATGAATCTCCTCCAACAGCCACTACCATGCTGTAAAACCTGTGTAATCAGGGGGAAATAAGCTTTGTTTTAATATAAGCAAGCTTCCTGTAGTATTTACAAAGTAATACGTTTCTATGTTTATATTAAAAAACTAAAGAAAATATCTCAGTAGGACAGTAGCTTTTCTAAACACATCTCTAGCCTACAACTCACACTTCACTGCGACTTACAGTCACTTACCCCAGATTCCAAGAAAATGAGATCCACCATATACATGGATGTAGAAAATTTAGATCCAACAGAGAGAGACAACACAGACCGTGTGTCTTCAGTTTTGTGTGTGGTTGTTGTCTGTTTTTTTTTTTTTTAATCAGTTATGACAAGCCTTCCAGTTTACAGAATGTTTGTTTCTGTAGTTTTTATTTTTCTTCTTTTTCTAATTTTTTTGTGTTGGAACACCACACTTCACTCAAGTCAAGAAACTTACATTTAAATTTCTTCTGCATGATACCACATGCATTTGAGCCTCAAATGTTAACCACTCTCAACATCAGGAAAAAAAACAAACAGACCAGATTTGAAGTTTAAAGTGCACATGAGAAATGCAAACCTACTTCCCAGAGATACACAAAATAAGAAGTGAAAGCCTACGGACAACTTCGTAACAAATTAAACCCTTTTAAACTTACTCCCGAATAAAATCACTTTAATTTCGAAGAGAAAAAATTGTTTTGACTTGTGTTGTTAACAACTGTGTATCTGCATGCATATTCATTTAAAATTAATGTTTTCCCTTCTTTCCATTCTTTCATTTCCATTCTGATTGGCCAGACCATCATTTATTAAGTCATAAGGACATCACTTCACAATTATGCATTTGGAATGATACCTTCTGAATAAAAAGCTCAAATGTATTCTTAGAGAAAACTCTAGAATGACAGCTTACAGTGGCATCACTCTTGGAATACCAGAGCATAACCTGAACTATCCTCTTTGTGGGCTTTGACTTCCTAGAGTTTCTCTTTTTACAGTACTTTGGAATTTACATGCAAATTGTTTTAACTCCTCAGTTTGAAAAAGAAAAGCAGACATAAGGCCTTGCCTTTACACTTCAAAGTACAAAACAATTAGCTTTAACAAAAGATGTTTTCTTTTACAGAAGAACATTTATGCATACAAACCAAAAAAGACATTTATATCATCCTGTGTTTATCCATCACTACTTCCGATCTAAGCTTTAAGATAGAAAATCATGAAGTTTGAGATTGGAAAGAAGAAAAATAGATCAGAATTTCCAAGCTTTACTATATTAACAAGGTTTACTCCATTTTGGCTAAGCTAAAATGCTAAACCTAGCATCGGATGAATTCTGACACATAGACAAATTCTTTTCATGTAAGAAGATTCCTGGAAAGACATGACACAGAGGTGAGTTAAAGGTACTGATATGGAAAATCATAGAAAAATTGCAGAATTGTCTGATTAGAAAACGAAGACAAAAAAAAAAAAAAAAAGCAACAACAAAAACAATTAACCGCAAAATAGAAATAATAACCCTGACTTTTCTCAAAGAAAATAGGTCATGAAGTCTAAACTGTTTTGAAAATTAATCCAGTGAGGCACAGTTAGACTTGTGTACAAAACACAAGTAATACTTGGACACTCCGTTTCTCACTGTCAAACTGGAAACTGTGCCTTTTTTTCAACCACTGGTAATGATCAACCTCACACACACTCAGTCACTGCTGACATCAGTAGTTTACAGCTCATGCATTCACACTGCCAATGAAATCTGTCTTCTAACCTTGAACAAATTTTGCTAAAGTAAATAGCTGAAGTGTTGTCCTTCTGCATCTAACATCTCATTTGTGTTGGGAATGTGAGAAAAGCCAAACTTCTCTTCAGAAGATACAAAGAAAGTTGAGAGAGAATAAAACAGTCTGTGACAGTCAGCAGCAATAATAGCTTGGTTTCCCACACAAGTATTCATTACTTTATGTTTTTTTCACAGTTGTGGCTTCCATAAAGTTTATTCTCATTTACCTTAACACTATTTTAAAAACCTAAGAAGAAGGAAGGAATTAGTTC